CGGGATTTCGTCCGTGTGGAATTTCACTTTATTTTTCTAAAATATAAGAAGTTAAATTCCACGCGGACGAAGTCGCGTGTACAGCTAGTTGTCGGTAGTCTAGCGATTTAGCACACTGCTTTGATTCCTGCTTGGTGGTCGAGGGTTCGATTCCTCGCACGCTGCAAACATTTGTATTCATGAGTAGGATTGTTTGTAACGGTCTGGGTGTTTTCTATGTATAGATAATATATATGTATTTACGAAAAAAATCTTTGTATTTATATCAGTTGTCTGGTACCCATAACATAATCTTCAGCTAGCTTAACTTGGGTCTAGATGAAGCTGTGTGAATTGTCCTGAGATTACTATTATTATTAATTGGTACACAGGTAAACTACTAACTAGGCCATATTGGTGTTGTTTGTTATGGTGAAAAAACTAGTATATATATAAGTTACACGTACAATTTCAAAGACTTATTTCTTGAAAACTGCTGGCTATTCTGAAATAAAACTTTAGGGTTTGTATATGTAATGTTTGCATATAAAATATGATTAAAGGTTACCAGTGTATTTACACTTTTACTGAACAAACAGAGTTGTTTAATACTGAAAATATTGTGTGGAAGGCATCAATTACTTTCAGTGCATGTATAGCTTTTCTCTTTTCCTAATTATTATTATTATTAAGTTTAAAGTGGTTGAATTTTACGTAAGTGGTATTTATACATTATTTCTAATTTACCATTTATTTTAAGTTTTTTAAACTCTATTCATCGAGACCTATCTAATGAGTCCAAACACGATATTTCTGCTGTAAGTTTTCGAAGAGTATGTTCATCATCTGATAATACTGGTGCCAGCATGAAGTCAAGGTTAACAGATAACTAATTACTTTTATTTCGTCAAAATCTTTAGATTACGTATAATAAATTCATAATATCGCTACCTATTCAAATCAAAACAAGTATTAGGTATATAAATTCATCAACACACAAGTAAATGATTTTTAAATATATTCAGAGCCAAAAAATCTTTGTGCATTTAAAAAATTTTGCCGATACGGATTCACTATTGCAAGAAATTGTTGAAAAAATATATATCGAGTATCTACTACTATCGACGAATACATTTGGCAACAACGCATGGTCTCGGCCGGAACGGCAACATCGCATATTAGAATACAAATATAGTGGTAGAACGCGGAACGGCAACATGTTGCCGTTCAGCCACGCTACCGTTATAGTGGTAGAAAGAGAGAGACAGTGGAATCAGCAATATCTACGGATCGTGGCTGGATCAACTAAGTGTGCAAGTTTATATAAATGTATATATATATATATATACATTTGTCTTTAATTCAAAGGAAATACAAATAATGAACGCATCACATTTAAAACAGTAATAAGTACGTAATATTATCACATTTTCAAACAGTAAGTACGTAATATTATCACATGGTAACAGCACGTATTATGGCAAAAATAAACATCGGCTGATTTGAAAAGATTTATTATAGTAATAATAGTAATCTCAAGACAATTCACACAGCTTCGTCTAGACCCAAGTTAAGCTAGCTGAAGATTATGTTATGGGTACTAGACAACTGATATAAATACAAAGATTTTTTGTCGTAAATACATATATATTATCTATACATAGAAAACACCCAGACCGTTACAAACAATCATACTCATGAATACAAATGTTTGCAGCGTGCGAGGAATCGAACCCTCGACCACCAAGCAGGAATCAAAGCGGTGTGCTAGCTAAATCGCTAGACTACCGACAACTAACTGTACACGCGACTTCGTCCGCGTGGAATTTAACTTCTTATATTTTAGAAAAATAAAGTGAAATTCCACACGGACGAAATCCCGTGTACAGCTAGTCATCAATAAAAAAACACGTTGGTATCTCTAATATATTATACAGTAGCTGTTCCCGCGACTTCGTCCACGTGGTTTTTAACTTTATTTTTCTAAAATAAAAGTAGCCTAAGTTACTCCTTATTACATCGGCTACCTGCCAAAAAAAGTCCCGTCAAAATCGGTCCAGCCATTTCAGAGATTAGCTGGAACAAACAGACAGACGGACAAAAATTGTAAAATATGTTATTTTGGTGTATGTACCGTATTTATATTCATATGCAAGTAGTAAAAAACGGTTATTTCAATAATACAAACAACAGGCTTCAACATTCTCAAGTACCACAAAAAAGATGTTTTTTCTATCAAATAAACCGTTTTTATTAAAAACAAGCTGTTCCCGCGACTTCGTCCGCGTGGAATTAAACTTTATTTTTCTAAAATAAAAGTAACCTAAGTTACTCCTTATAAATCAGCTACCTGCCAAAAAAAAGTACCGTCAAAATCGGTCCAGCCATTTCAGAGATTAGCCGGAACAAACAGACCGACAGACAGACAGACAAAAATTATAAAAATTGTTATTTTGGTATATGAACCTTATATATATTCATATGCATGTAGTAAAAAACGGTTATTTCAATATTACAAACAGACACTCCAATTTTATTTATATGTATAGATTATTATTTATTTATTTATTTTTTCATCCAAAATAATACAAATTGTGTAGGATAACGTAATAGTAACATTACAGTAAAATTTTGTCAACAACATAATAGCAACTTAAATATTAAATCTCGGTATATCTATAGACTATGGCAGCGACTTCGTCCGCGTGAAATTTTATTTTATTTTTCTAAAATAACAGTAGCGTAAGTTAATCCTTATTACATCAGCTACTTGCCAAAAAAAGTCCCGTCAAAATCGGTCCAGCTATTTCAGAGATTAGCCGGAACAAACAGACAGACAGACAGACAAAACTTGTAAAATATGTTATTTTGGTGTATGTACCGTATTTATATTCATATGCAAGTAGTAAAAACGGTTATTTCAATATTGCAAACAGACACTCCAATTTTATTTACATGTATAGATGTATAGATTAAAAAAAAAGTAACAGTCATAAGGCTAGTCGTATGCCTAATATATATAATAATGTAATAAATTCATTTAAACAGAAATTGCGGCAACATTATTTAAATTTGTAACTTTTTTACTGTCCTTCTCCATTTTTCACATCTTTCTGTTATATCCCTATAGTTCTCTCTATATTTTCTGTTTTTCTTACTTTCAATTTGAGACTGTACTTATAATTTGATTATCAGATCATTATGTATTTATTTATATATAATATTTATACATTTATGGGTTATATTTAAATGAATTTAATCGATAAAATCGTTGTTAAGTATTAAATTAATTGTAAGTGATATTAACTATTATATTATGCATAAAAAATATTTGTAATAATAAAGAAAATACATTTAAAATATTTTACTTGTTGTGTTAGTTATTTATAAGATCTTACTATAATTGTTAGCTGCTTTACAATTTAGAAAGTACAATAGGTAATGTAAATTAAAATTAATTGAATACTTAACAACGTTTTGTTCGATTAAATTCATTTAATTATTAAAATAGTCAATTTAAAATTAGAATAAAGACAAAAAAAAAATAAAAAAAAAATCGGTGGCGGGAATCGAACCTTGAGCGTCCGTTTGGTAAGTTGATTCAAAGGCTTATTAAAATCAAAATTCAAAATTCAAAGTTACTGGTCATTTTGAAATAATACTTAGGGTTCGCATACCCTTATCGGATACTACTACTACACGGAGTTTCGTCAAAATAGAATATCTAGGTTAGGTATAATAAATTCATAATTAATAGACCGTTACGGTATCTGTATATACTGGATCAAAACAAGTACTATGAAATAAGAAAGAGTATATAAATTGATTAACACAAGTAATTGATTTTTGAAATATATTCAGAGCCAAAAAGTCTTCTTTCTTTATTTATGTACTTGTTAGATGCGACAGCGACTTTGTTTTATACTATACTATACTATGTAATGATTGATATACCTAAAATAAATAAAATATCTGAGGTTTGGACAAAAACTCAAAGGGTAATTTATTTTGAAAAAGTATTTTGAAAATACCTATTTTGCTTTTAGTGTTATAGTACTTTAACTGTTATATTTTAAGTAACAATGTTTAATTATAATTAATACTACTGCACCAACACTCCGATCGTGCAAAAAAATTTGCTGTTTCATTATTTTTTAGTTCAATTAGTGGTCTACCTAAGTCCTGGGGTAAGGGGGGGGAGAGTCATGACGCCCCCATGACTCCCAAGACCTCCATGACGCTCCCCCCTAGATCCGCCGTTACGTCTTCTCTTCATTCGCTCAGTAACGTTGTTACTAAAGGAAAAATTCCCGTCCAAAAAATAACAAGTATTGAGGTTTGATCTGGAGTCACGTTCCTCTAGACTGATTTCTATAAATATTTAGATTAGATAGACTATTATTCTTGAAATACTAGCTAGACATTATTAAGTTACTGTAGCCATAATGTAGTAGTCCAAACGTGCCAATGAGGAAGCCCTTGGCAAATGCTGCACCCTGATTGGCCCGTTTGAATTGGATCAAGAAGTGGTCGAATGCCATCTGTATAAAATCGTGTATAAATCGCTTAATTATTATTATTACTCGTCGTGACAGTTGTGGCTCAAAAAGGATCAACATTTATATATCGTCAGCTGGCATTAGATCAACAAAAGGCCTCCGGATCAACAAGTGAAAAAGGATCAACAAAAAACTACCTATACGGCACGTCTGAGCCACAAAGTGCCCAAGGGGATATTTATATATATATATATATATATATATATATATATATATATATATATAATTTACCCTACAATACACCTTGTTTATGCTGTTTCGTGGGAAATTACTTCAGTCATAGGTTGGCTTACACTTAGTGAAAAATAAAAAGAAAATGTACATATTGGATAAATAAGTAGGTAATTGATATGTAGAACAATGAGGTATTGTTGAAAAACATAAAAGAGTTATTATCGCATAGCTATACGACTATATTAATTGCACATATTAGGCATTGACTACATTCTTGTACATACGCACCTAAGACACTAACCCTTAATCAGTACACTATTTACAATGCAAATTACCACCACTAGTTACAAACAGTGTAAATTTATTATAAAATATTATCACTTAATGTAACGACAAGCATTGAGTTCACTTAAAACTTGACACTCTCACTAAAGTAATAAAATAAATAAGGTAATACGTTTAAATTTACTAAACACTGTTTATAAATCGTCATTGAACTAAGGAAATGACCGAATAAAACGCGTTGACAAGACGACTCCAGCAGTTCCGCGCCGCACGGATGGCGCGCGTCGTCTGAGCTGAGCGTATCTACTTGTAAGCAAGCACTGTCGGCTGATGAACACCACGACAGAGGACAGACGATAATCCACGCATGTGCGGGTTTTCCTGAGTTTTCCAACGTATACGTCACTACTGTATTGTGCATTTAGCGTGGAACTACGTCATAGTTACTGTATCAGATGTGTATTATGTAGATCTACAAATGAGATTATTTATACTTGTATATGAGGATAAGTGATTTCCTTGGATTTGAGTGAATACACCCGGCCCAGTTTTTTAGGGAAGGTTCAAGAGTTTTCTGAAAAAGATACATTTTTTCTAATTTTGTATCTTGATGAACCGTTTGTGATTATTTTAGTTTTTCTTTCGAAGATAAAAGAAGTATGATAAGTTTTTATTTGGTGTAACATCGAAATATTTTATGGCCTAGTTGACACTATTGTCTGTTGCATGTCAATAAAAATTAAATGTGCGAGACTGACTATCCTAACATTTTTCCTAACATTACTGTACCATATTTAAAGCAACCATATAATCATTTCAATTCAAAATATTTTTAACATTGTAGATTTTTGCAAGCTGTGTCTGTCTGGCCTATTACAGCCAAAACGATTTTAAACTAGATTTTAACTTATTATTCATTAGGTTACGCATCATTATGCATCATGCATCAGTGAACCTAACGAAAATCTTTATATGTATGCAACCAGTTCTATTGCCGCAAAACAACTTGCTTAGTAAAAACCGTCGCTTCTATGAACAGCATCACAGACATCAAGTTATCATGTGACGCCCGTGATCTCATGCGTTGCCATTCCAGAGACTGACAAACTAAAAGAGGTGAGGCTGGCTGTTTACTTCTGGCTTCTACAGTGAAACATATAAAGTTTATCTAAACACACAACTATCAAAATTATTAAGTGTTACGTAATTAATAAGTATTTTTAATACTAAAATACTTATTTTTTAATTGATCTAACTACATAGTCAAGATAATTACCGTTACATCGCATCACACTTCACCTCATTCTTACAATTATCATCGTCATTTTTATAACATCGATTGCATAGCGAGTCAAATCCCATAAATAATTGCTTTGTACCAAAGTAACGTAACAAGACGAGAAAGTGTTAAGCAAAGGTCCGGCTCGTTTCACTTTCTACAGAAAAATGCGACTGTTACCGAATTTTGCGCCACTCGAAGTCTTACCGTACTATTACTAGTTCAAATCAAGAACAAAGCGATGAGGGAAGCTAAGCATGGTGGATTAAGGTGTAATGTAATTTCACTGCCTATTCGCACCCTACAACCAAAATTACCGATTACAATGCAAACAGCTTGGCGACTGAAATAGTTGAGACTGAGGTGAGACCAGACTAGTGAGGCACGTAGACGACTTTCTACAGTATAACTTTGATAAAATTGTTTAAATTCAATTATTTTATAATACTATACCATTATAGTATTATAAAATATAGACCTTATTATCGGATTGTCCTAATTGTACTCAAGGACCACAGAAAGACTTAAAAGGTTTTAAACTAGTCATAATTTCATAATCTAAAATTGTAATGTAAAATTAATTATTATCAGAATAAATAGTGAAATATACAATATAAATTATTATTTCAATTAAGTATGTGAACCACTGTCCTCTGTGGACTTAACTGGCAAGGATGATAATCGACATCCACTAGATAATAAAATATAAGAACGGAAACTTATAGCAGGTACCTAACAATAGTGCAGATTTAGAGCGAGCGCGCATGTGGTAAGAGGGCATGCATCAGTCCCACGGACTCTTTCGACATACCGCTCTGCTGCTAGTGTTTATTGCTTAAATCGTTCATAAATCCACTATTCATTTTGTAGGTAGTTACTATAGTATTAAAGAAGGTAAGTAAATACATCGCTGGAAACAAAACTCGTCTAAAACACATACCGCCCATTCGTGTATCTGATTTGTTAGAGTTGTTTAGATAAATAATTACAATTCATGCACAGTTTCCTAAGAGAACAGAAATATTACCTAATGATATGTGCTCCTAATAGTATTTGATAATCACTAATCTAGGCATGTTATTAAGAGCAACATGCCAGGAAACAATGTAGAAAGCTTTAAAGCTAAATGTCTAAAATAAAAAAAATAGGATTTGACAAATCAGTACCGCAAATATACACTACCCCACAAAAATCTGACATTTACACCTGTCAACTAAAAAAAATATGTTTTTATTATTGATGATAATGGCATGGTGCAACCGCCTACGCTAACGGTTTACGCTGGCGGGGCATACGTGCAGAATGATAAGATGAGCGTGAAGTCAGATCAGTTAGCCCATCATGACAAATTCGCCAGGAATTTGTCTTGATGGTTTCCAGATGGTACCACGTGGAGGTTAAACTGACATGGTACATTGTTAGCAATTGCGTCTTCAGGCTACATTACTAACAATCCCCTTTCCCCTAGCGGGGTAGTGTTGAGACTGCGATACTGATTTGTTAAATCATATTTTTGGGGGGAAAGGGGATTGTTAGTAATATGGACTGATTAGTTAATTAGTTGTGTCAATGTGACAGAAATTTACAAATTATGTATCTTCCTTAACTTTTGGCAAACGGTGCTCAATTAATGTATTTTGACACTATAGTGACATTGAACTGCTTACAATTAGTAGGTCCTACATTTACATCTATCTATACCTGTCTATACAATCCATAATAATTTTATTGGTCAGCGAAACGGGCAATAACCCAACATCGTCTGTGGGCGAAGACTCCCACATAATGAATCATCACTCCAAATACTAAACCCAATATATTGTCCAAATATAACCTATATCCATGACATGACAATATGATGTACAAAAGCTCTCAGTACTTTAATACAATGATATAATAAGGAAACAATAGTACCTACCTAATTAGCGTTATAGCGTACCGGCTCGGCGCTATAATTTTACGAATTGTTTAAATAAACAAGCTTAGTCAACAAAAGTACAAACTATACCTACAAATCTAACTATATTACAAGCCACTGACTAAAATATGTGGATGTGGACAGCCTTGAACGTCTCCGTACGTATAGAATAAACACGTAACATTAAAGTTCTAGGTAGGTACTATATCATGATTATAAATAGTCAATACTCAAACATCTTCAGTGCAGGTCATATCATATTGATCCAGAGCCGATAATAAGAGGTTTTTGTAAATAAATGTAAATATCTAGGACGTGTATTGTGACAGTGAAGAGTGAAATGTGTGAAAATATTAAAATGATATTACCAAGCTCTCAGCATCCTGGCTCATCTTTTTCTACGCATCGTTCCCGTGAAGGACCCGCTCCCAGGCGGCTCTGCAGCTACAAAGGTAATCCAACGCACTGAACCGAAGCACGTCACCACAACAATACACCACATTCCATCACTGCATCCGCGTCCAACATATGATCGCTCCGGCCGGTCCTTCTGACGTCACACACTTTCTCACAACTCAACACGGTTATATAGAACTAAGCATGCATGCCTCCTGTAAGGCCTAGGAACATGCTCACTTAACACGATACACTAATATTAGCACCACAATTCGATTCGTTTCACTCGTTCATACCAAAGAATAGTGTTTGCGTGTGAAGGAAATGTGTTTATATGACGCAAGTAACGACTTTCGCGGACGAACTGAGTGAAGCACGTCCGCGTCGTGGCACCGCCGCGCCGTCGCACGCGCACCACGTAACGGCACCGAGGTCCCCGCGCCGCCGCCCGGCCGCCTGGCCGCCACTGCGCTTACCTGCCTGCCCTGTCTCACCTCAACATTGCCAATCAACGCAGCCAGAATCAGTAACGCTCGCTCGCTCCACCACAATACACAATAACATACAGATTGTGCACACACAATCTATTGTCTTCCTCCTACTTCGCATTGTTAAACCTCATAATGAAATTATTACAAAAACTATTAGGTATTTCTAATACAATTAATATTTTAGACCTTGGGAAACTATGTGAACAAAAGTTTCTACACAAGCTCAATATTGCCCTTACCCAACGATTGTGCCTTTAATATCTACAGGCATTAGTTACCTCCATGCACGCTTTCTCATTACCACTAACTATAATGTACTAGGAATGAGGACACTAGGAGTGTCAACTTGTTTATGATTCCCTTCAAAAATTTCTACAAAAGCTTGCTTACCCAACGAACCCTCTCGGGTTCTAAATTCCTAAATGCCTACTCCTACTATGCACGTAAAATGTGGTTTATCCAAGGAATTTATTTATATATTTTCTTTTTTCTTTGTGATTTTTTTATTTACTCCTCCTTATCTTTGATTTTTCTAAAACGTTTACAGTAGATTAAAAAATATTACAAGAATATATAACGGTGCTTCTAACTGGCACAATTTTTGATAAACACTCATGAACAAAGTTACTATTCATTCCTATAGCCATAGGTAACTTGGTCTAACTCTAAACGTAAAGTCGTAATCACAGCGCAGGCTAGTTGAGAGTTCATAATTCAAACCTAGAACGGACTTAAATAAGAAACCTATTTATATAAATTAATTATCATATAAAGAAAATAAAAACCACTATAAAATATTTTAAGCAGCATTATATATTTGTAGCAATTTGGTGATTGACCTGTCCCACAAAATAGGTTTTCATATTTAGTACCTAACGGAAGCATCTCATTCACAGACAGACCTGCGGCTTGATATGATAACGTGATGATCATATCGAAACAGTGGCATGGAACTCTTGGATCGCTTCCTAGATCGTATCGCTTCATAAAAATGTAGAACATTTTTTTTCGGACTACTCTAATGCTGTTATATTATGTAGCTGGCCTTTACGCCTTTACCGGACCATAAGGGACAAATGCAGGTAGAATTCCAAACTTGCAGAAGGACTTATGGAGCGAAACTCTATGAACTGCAATCCAACTACTACCGCCTGGCGGATACGACTTTAGTCTGAGAGTACCGCTAGGGGTTTAAATCTCAGCTCAGGCCGTCGTAATTTCGATTTGGAGGCGGCGCCAGTTTGGAGCGCTCGGGAGTGTGTAGTAAAAATTGGTTCCATTTTTATATAATGTACCCGTCCACCTGATATTACCCCGCGTCACGTTAGTCGTTAGATCTATCTGAAATGCTATAATCCTCTTGAAGAGATCATAAACTATTGATACAATACAACTTATTAATTTTCAAAAGTTTATAATAACGTAATTCCATAATCACGTCAGTCACGGATATTGTCGTAGTTAATTCCAAGTAAATTCGCCACTATGGGGTAATTGCCCCATGCTCATCATCCACTAGTTCCCGAAGTTGAAAATCTTATTATATTTTCAATGCGGACCTAATCTCAGTTTTTAAACACAAATGTATATAATCACTTCTGTAATTACTGAAAATACATGTTAATAACTTCAACCCATGTCATTTCTCTTTCCTTTCCTACTGCTAGTACACACAGAACAACACAATATAAATATATGTGGTACTACCATTGCCATAAAAAAATGTTCTCTCCTACCCTTCATGTAGTGCAGAGCGGCACACATGCCTACGCCGCCATACGCATAAACGTACATAGAGCTTAGCGTTGCGAGTAGAACTACTTTCGTTTAAAGACACGTGAAAATATCTGCAATACATTTATTATTAACAGAAAAAATAGTCTAAAATTAAACAAGATAATTATTTATTAATATTACAAATTTTATTTGAATTACTTTTTATACTTCCTAAAACTTCATTTAAGTTTTAGACAATAAACACACTGTGGCGAATTTACTATCATCGTGCGGCAACACCGTTGCCTAGTTACGATGGAGTATGAAATAACAGGCCTAACATTCGAGACGGAATCACTTTTTTGTACATACCTATATATCAATTGTATATGCTTCTATATTATAAATATGTATAATATTATATTATATAGCCACAATCTGGACTCATCACTTTACCTACTCCTTTCTTGCTGCTACTACAGAGGACACATAATCATAAACAATAGGGGGCCCAACATAGCCGGTAAAATACTTATAATCGGGAAGTATATAATGATTACTGAGGCATTTTTTTAAATTATTATTTTGTTTTAAGGCTTTGGATTCAAGTTCTTACGGTGCCAAGTGGAGTGATGCATAGATTATATAAATTGTTGCCATATTCTTTTAGGGTTAACTGTACCATTTATTTTAAATACCAACTGGGCCGCAAACCAATTCTAAATTAATAATCGAATAAACTCTACTGTTGCGGGTAATGAATACGATGTTGTTGGTAGAGACGATGTATATTACAGATAATAATTGACTGACAATATGTACACAGAAATATTGATCTTATATACTAAATGACAATAGGAAAATGTAAGGTGGGGTGATACAGTTTAGACACAGCAGTGCTTAGTAAACAATATTGAATATGTTATGTGGTAAAGCAAGCTGTACGACCACACGTGGTTGTTCAGCTCGATTGGGCCGCTCGAACCGGGAAATACCACACCTCGGCAGAAAACAGGCGTTAAGTGTGATAATGCGAAACACGCGATAGCGTTTCGCATGGTGAGCTGTAGGTTCCGGACGCCCCTCCCCCTCCCCCTATCCCTTTCCTACTTCCCCTACCCACCCCTTTCTTACATACCATGGCAGCGGATTACAAGAGATTTTTACCCCAGGGTGGTACCAGTAACCATGTTACTGGAGAATCCACCCCTGAGAGATCACACTCAGGCTGCCCTGCGTATTCTGGGGTGGGCAATACTCCGCTCAATTTGGCCAAACGGAAACCGAGCAAATCTCCATCGGCGTTTCCCTTGCTCATAGTCAGTTTTTGCAACATCAGGGGAATTCATTCCAATCTCAACGCCGTTCACCACCACCTAGAGACGGCGAGGCCGGCTTTGCTCTTCCTTACGGAGACCTGGATATAAATTGGAACACCATTTTTTTCCACGGGCCGGTGTGTGCGCTTATGTCAGAGAGGATATTTGTTGTCGCCGTCTTGGTACACTTGAAGGTACTGACCTGTCCATTTGGTAGGAGACTGAACAGTCTTCCATCTGGATCCCGGGCTTTTTGGTCTCTTGCCAAGGCTGCTCAGGGAAATTTCTGCCAGCCATCTTTTCCACCACTGCGCAGAGAGGATAACTCGTTGGCCCAACATGCTAAAGAGAAATCTCCTTGGGTCTCTTTTTGCATCCAACTCGACACTGGACGATAGGGAGCAATCACCGCCGGCCATCTCGCGGTGTGAGACTTCTATGCCAGAGGTAAAATTTACCCAAAAGCTGGTACGTAAGTCTCTTTTCTCCCTAGATATCCACAAGTCGAGTGGGCCTGACGGTATTGTGCTATTGTGCTCAGGACGTGTGCACCTGAGTTGGCTCCGGTACTAACGCGTCTTTTCCGGTACTGCTACTCTACAAACTACTCCCGAAACTTTGAAAGACAGCTTTGGTTCATCCGATCCCTAAGAAGGGAGAACGCTCAGATCCAGCTAACTATAGGCCCATAGCCATCACCTCCTTATTCTCAAAGATCATGTAGTCGATGGTCAACCGTCAACTCCTACGATATCTAGAAGTGAACCAGTTGATTTCTGATCGTCAGTATGGCTTTCGCCAGGGTCGGTCGGCTGGTGACCTTCTAGCGTATTTGACACATCGATGGGCAGAGGCTATTGAGAGTAAGGGGGAGGCTCTATCTGTTAGTCTGGATATTGCGAAGGCCTTTGATCGGGTTTTGCACAAGGCTCTTCTTTCAAAGCTACCATCCTTTGGGTTGCCTTGCGAAGTTATGCAAATGGGTCGCCAGCTTTCTCGCTGATCGGAGCATCAAGATCGTTGTCGATGGTGTTTGCTCCGACCCACACTCTGTGAATGCTGGTGTTCCACAAGGCTGTGTGCTATCTCCGACTCTGTTCCTTCTGCATATCAATGACATGTTACAAGTCAACAACATTCATTGCTATGCGGGTGACAGTACCGGGGATGCCTTGTACAGCGGCCATGCTAATATGTCGCAGGCAAAAGTTATAGAGTACCGGAACAAACTTGTGTCTGAAATCGAAACTTCACTCCATCAAGTTTCGGTTTGGGGTCTGAAAAATTGTGTTCAATTCAACCCCAAGAAGACACAAGTTTGCGCGTTTACCGCTAAAAAAATTCCATTTATCGTATCTCCTCAGTTTCAAGACACTCTCCTTGATGTGAAGCCAAATCTCGAGGTCCTTGGTGTTGATATATCCAGTGACGTTCAGTTTTGCGGTCATTTGGAGGACAAGGCTAAAATAGCCTCAAAAAAGCTTGGTGTGCTCAGGACAGTGAGACGGTATTTCACGGCGACCCATCGCTTGCAATTATATAAGGCGCAGATCCGGCCGCATATGGAATACTGTTCTCACCTCTGGGCGGGAGCACCACAATACCAGCTACTTCCATTTGACCGCATTCAGATCCGAGCAGCCAGAATCATTGGTAATCAACGTCTATGTGACAGACAGAGCCCATTGGCTTTGCGGCGAGATATTCCATCTCTGTGCATTTTCTACCGCATATATCACGGGGAGTGTTCTGAGGAATTGTTCGGATTAATACCAGCTGCTGAGTTTCAACACCGTACCACCCGCCAGAAACTGAAATACCATCCTGATCATCTGGATGAATGGCGGTCTTCCACAGTACGGTTTTCTAGAAACTTTTTGCCCCGCACAACCACATTGTGGAATCACCTTCCAGCAATGGTATTTCCGAACCGATACGATATTGAAACCTTCAAGAAAAGAGCTTATTCCTTTTTAAAAGGCCGACAACGTACTTGCAATTCAAAGTGTTGCGGGTGCTCATGGGCGGCGGTAATCACTTACCATCAGGTGAGCCGCATGCTCGTTTGTCCCCTGTGTTAAAAAAAAAACATGGATATTCCCCCCTTGAGAGAAATAAAATATGCATAAAAAAGTTAATTATAAAATTTATGTTAATCGTTGATCGCTTGCAATTTTTCTTGTGTCGGTTTCATCCCTTGGCTCGTTGTATGATAACCAACAAAAGCCTAACTCATTTTTGAAAAACTCGCATTTGCTTATATTTTAATTGTAATTCAATTTTCATTTAAACGAGTAAATTAGTCTTAGGACTGGCCCATGGATTGCTCGTACCAATTTCCATATGTACTGAAAATCCTTTTTTGCTGCTTATTTTTTCTCTGGAGGAAGAGGACGAGCTCGAGCGCATACAGGAAATCCTTTTGTTATGATGTGATGTTTTACTTTATGTCGTATGGGGAATTCACTAACGCTCTCTTTGGTCTGTCCTTGTTTTTATTCTCCGGGATCAAGACCTATAACTGCGGTTAACAATATAAGTTTCTTTAAAAATTTGTGAGGAAATTAAAACGAATATCTGGCAGTACTGACGCATGTAATTGTTTGGCTCAAAAATAAGTTTTCCAGGGCCGTAAAATACTTTATAAAAAAAAACGGTCCAATCGGTCGCATCGTTCGTTAGTAGTAGATGATGTACACCCATTTGTTTTACATAGTCTTTCAGATCTGTTACCTTAATATTTTCATTACTGCCTTATACTCTGTGTTATATATTAATTATATTTAAATTATAGCTTTTTTATTATATGTAGTGGATATAAAGATGTCGTCTTTAACAAATAATGTAACGCAAAACTCAAATACTGGTGACGAATGCAGTGAATCTACATCGACGGACAATAACCATTCTGAACAAAATAAAAACCTAAGAAGAGGTTCAAATTGTCAAGATAGTGATTTTGAATCTTCAAAAAAAAAACGTAAAAGTGAACAACATAGTACCGTAGTAGCAGCTCATTATAATCACCTTGAGGAAAAAGGACTAAGAGAAAGGTTCAAATCTCCTATATTCTATGTACGAAATTTTAATAACTGGGTTAAAAGCGTGCTCATTCAAGAGTTCACGGATAAAGTGAGAGAAAAAGACTATGGAAAAGCTGTAAATGTGCTTGATATATGTTGCGGTAAAGGAGGAGATCTGAGCAAGTGGCAGAAAGCAAGAGTAGAAAAAGTAATCTTTGCTGATATAGCTGATGTGTCAGTCCAGCAATGCAAAACGCGTTATGATGATCTGCGTAGAAGATGTGGCAGACTTTTCTCAGCTGAATTCATTGCAGCTGATTGTACAAAAGACACACTGCGGGACAAATACTCAGATCCATCAATAAATTTTGATCTGGTAAGCTGTCAATTTGGCTTACACTACAGTTTTGAAAGCTTAAGTCAAGCCAGAAGGATGCTCACTAATATATCAGAATGTTTGCGTCCAGGAGGATATTTCTTTGGTACCATTCCAGATGCATATGAAATAATTTCTCGAAGTAAAAAGTCTAATGGATCTTTTGGAAATAGAATCTTTAATATAAAATTACTTTTTGATTCCAAAACAGGTTATCCATTGTTTGGTGCAAAGTATGATTTTCATTTGGAAGGTGTTGTAGATTGTCCAGAGTTCTTAGTTAATTTTGAACTACTTGTCAAACTAGCAGCTGAATATGGTCTTGAATTAGTGTACAAAGCTAGGTTTCCAGATTTCTTCAAAGATCATTCAGATAGCTATAAACAGTTACTGCATAGAATTATTTGTTTTGAAAGTTATCCTGCACCACCTGGCAAAGAACTTATTGGAGAAGAAGTAGAATATGAACATGCACTGGAATTTTGGGAAAGTATGGAGAAAAAAAATGAACGTGATCGAATAGGAACAATGAGTATGTGTGAATGGGAAGTAGCTAGTAAGTACCATTCTTATCTTCAATATTTTTATTATTGTTTTCAACATAATAGTAATTAACAAAATTAATATTTTTGTTTATGTGAAATATAAGATATCTACCAGTTCATTTCATATTGTGTTCTAGTCATTCTGACTATTAATATTCATACATTACATAGACATTCTGTATATTAAATTATTGTTAAATTTGTTAAATCAATTAATTACATTATAAAAGTCTTAACAAATTGCAACCCATATAAAATATATTTAATACATGTTGTGAAACATCTGTATAACATATTTTTGAAACAGTGTCTATATAAAATAGTTACCAAAATGTGTTGTAGCCATGTGATAAACAATATGTATTTCATATTGTTATACTTGCCTAATAAAACATCAAACTGGAGTAGAGTCCATTTGAATTTAATATGAATGAACCAATAAATGTAAAGTTAGTAATAATTTAATTTTTTTTCAGCTATCTATATGACATTTGCATTTAAGAAACAGAAGTCCACTTGGGATTGTAATGGCAAACCAGTGTACCTATTGTCACAAGATAAGAAAAAAGAAGTTAAAGAATGACAACTGGAGTGTAATCACTTTATTATATCAAGGAAATTAATACATACGTAGTTAAAATTGCATTTTCTGTTTTTTTTTTCTATTATACCATTAAACTGATTATTAAGTGTCTTCATTAAAACTATATCCTTATTAATATAATTGTGAACATATTACATTAAAAGAATCATGTTTTGGGAAAGAAACCCTTTAATAGAATATAAGGTCTAATCAAAACAGTGTATTATGACAAGTAAATAGTTTTATTATAATATCATGTTATTATGAATGCATGGTTATTATTTTCTTTTTTAAAAATCATTAATGATTTTTAAAAAAGACAATAATAAAATTTGTTTGGTTCAATTTCTTTCACAGATTAGATCTATTTATTTTTTATCTCTACTACAGCATTTTTTACTAATTCTAATACATGGCCATATTTGGAAATATGGAGTCTAAAGAAAATTATGAATAATAGTGAAATTAGAGCATTCTATCAAAAGTAGACTGTTTAATACTTGCATATGTAGTATGCACAAGGTTATCAAATCTAGGTAGAAGAGCACTCATGAAAAAATTAAACTTGTCAAAATTTTATGGAATGGAGTACAAGGGGATAGACAGAAAAAAATAGAAATTATTAAAAATAATACATATAAAAACAAAAGATGATACAAGAACAATAAAGAAATTAATATGGAAGTGGTCCATACAATCAGAAGAGAAGAAAAATGGCCAAAAGTCATTATGAATTGCTAAACAAGTCAATAACAGCAATGTATACAAACTACGATTAAAACGATATAATTATACTAAGTATTTAATTTTACTTATTATCTAATCTTAGGAACAATAATACTCTAATTAAAATTTAAAGCCTGTGTTTCAAATCGTGTTCTCGACTTCAGTTTTTTTTTTGTGAAGCGATTAGAAATAAACAAATTCTATTCTTTACTACATTAAACTTACATCAATGAAAACGCATTCCATTGGGTTAAGCTGTAAAAAATATTTACAATACTGTGTATAACATTGTAAGTTGAGCCAATTAGGTTATTTCTTTACTACTTCGTCTTGATACGAGGCAAAAATTTTAAAGACAACCCTAGTACATTAAAAGTCAAATATCAATCAAGAAACTGATTTAAGTAAAAAAAGCAACAACATAACCCAAAAATGAAATAATTTAACAATATTATACATATACGTGCACTTTGTATACACAGTATACACCGCTTTTATTAGGAAATGTGACGTGTTAATCTATACATATAAATAAAACTGGAGTGCCCGTTTTTTACTCCACGCCTTTGAATATAAATACGGCACCTACACCTAAATAACATTTTTTTAAATTTTTGTGTCTGTTTGTTCCGGCTAATCTCTGAAATGGCTGGAACGATTTTGTCGAGACTTTTTTTGGCAGGTAGCTGATGTAATAAAATGTAACTTAGACTACTTTTATTTTAGAAAAATAAAGTTAAATTCCACGCGGACGAAGTCGCGGGAAAAGCTAGTAAAAAAATAAAATAAATTATGATCAAGACTTAAATAAACAATTGCATTTTATTTCTCTTCTATGCAATTCTATGATCAACACTGTGCATCAAACCCATCTCTGTTTCTGTTCTGAGATCTCACACAGTTACATTTTTCAAAAACGAATCTGAATATTTATTTGGGTAATGACTATTATTTATACAAAAGGATACGACCTGAAGTAATAATCAAAAGAGAACGTTGACCGATTACTGTGAAGTTGGCTGTACATACAAAGCTGTGACTAAACAAGTGTGACCATATACCTATTTCTAGAATTATGTCAAAGTAGCCCATTATTATAACCATTAGCCTATTCTTTTCACATTTCATTGATCTACATATTACTCTGTAGGAACGATCAAGTTTAACATGATTTATTAAATTTTTAGTGACCTCGTAGTCTTCGTACGTCTATATGTGGTAAATATATAAGAGTTTAACTGCAATTTTATTTTTGGATAGCTCACACGTCATACTCGTGAACGAGTGCTGCTTGTAGGTATTGGTCTGCTCTAATCACTATGACTGATTTACTCAACCAGTTGATTGTATATAGTTGATTATTTAACTGAACTAGTGCTAGTTGGTAGTTTGTAGTCACACACTGCAACTTAAAAATCTAATGTAACAACAAAATTATTTATAGGAGCAACATGCAAATTTCTTGCACATTCTTCTTGTGATGAGACAGCTTTCCGAATGAGCGAATGACTAGCGGAGCTTGAGCGGAAAAAAATGTGATGACTATTCAAAAATGCTTAAGTTTCCGTGAATAATAACTTCCCGTTCTTTGATAAATAATGAACATATAATCCACAATGTATTGTTTCTAATTTAATAGCTTAAAACGACCAATTGAATTTATAGCTATTGTTATGAATTTTAAAAATCAAAAACTATACTATTTATTATATAATGATTGATGTTGGCAATAAAGGAAACAAGAATAGTCATATATACTACTTGCACTAAGATATAGAGTACTTGCTGTGCTCGCGAGACCTTGACCAAATAAATAAAAAAATATTCAATAATCTAACCCAAAAAAGTTCCATCGTTCTAATTTAGTTTTTGGTAGTAGCAATAGTTTTCGTGTGAAAGCGAGACAAACAGACATATAGAGTTACTTTCGCCTTTATAAAATTAGTAAGGATTAATGAAGTACTATAAACTATGGCCAGAAAGAAAAACCGAACGGATAAGAACAATGAAATAAAATTACTATTTGGTATTCGGCATTCGAAATATAAACCTTTATATATGTAATAATAAAATTGTGAAATACAGGTCAATTAGCTAACTAATTGACCTGTATTTCACAATTTTATTATGTGACTAACACAGACTAACTAAGTGACTTCACAATTGGCCTCCTAATAACAACACAATAGGCTTCGGCCACATCATAAATTAAAAATAAAGGGTTATAAAATAGAACGCAATGACTCGGGTAATTACCACAACGGTGTTGCTATTATCATACATGAAAACCTTCATTATAATAGAATTAATATGTTTTCTGACGATTCAATACAAACTTTAGTCATTCAGATCATTATAAACAATGAAAAAATATCATTAGCTACTATTTATTGCCCCACCAATTGTTCAGTACCTTTCACAAAATCTAAACTTGTTAACTTTGTAAATAATACTCCTAAGCCTTTTATAATTGCTGGTGATTTTAATGCACATCACACCATTTGGGGTTGTGATTCAATTAAACCCAGAGGTAGAGATATTTTGGAAACTTTAGATGAATGTAACCTAGTTTTATTAAACGATGGTCATGTCACTACTGTAGGTAGTCATATTTGGAAACCAAATGGCTTGGATTTAACCATAGTTAGTCCTTATTTATCCCTTTCATGTAACTGGTATGTTTACGAAGATCCGTTAGGCAGTTATCATTTGCCAACAATAACACAATTAAATTTACAATATTCCAATTTTTCTTGTAAAGGAGCAAATAATTGTGTATCAGTTCCAGTAAATCGGCGTAACTTGCGACTTGTAAACTGGGACAATTACAGTAAAATTGTTAATTCCAAATTACAAGGCTTTTCTGTCAATGAGAGCGATCCGTGTTCAACATATGACACTTTTTGTAATATTATTTTAAATTCTATTGATATTGTTCTAAATAAGAGTTCATCGGCACATCAAAAACAATACAATTGTAATTCTTCTAGCAATTCTAAACTATCAAAATATAAGCATCCTCCAGTACCATGGTGGAATGACACTTGTGCAACAGCTGTTCGTAAAAGTAAACAAGCATATATAGATTTTAAATATGATCCTACCACAGATAATTATATTAAGTTTAAAAGATTGCAAGCGGAAAAAAAACTTACTATTAAAACTGTGCGTTTACAAAGTTGGCATGAATACTGTTCTAATTTAAACAGAACCACTTCTATATCTAATGTTTGGACAAAAGTTCGAAAATTTAATAAGAAATATATAAATAAACCTCGCACTTACAACTCAGGTAACGATGATATGTGGTTAAATGAATTTTTACACAAATATACTCCAGATTACGTTGCGAGCCCTTTTACAACAGTTCCTAACAATTCTGATAAAGCTAAAGATATTTTCTTTGATAAACCTTTCAAATTAGCAGAGCTTCAATCAGCATTAAAATCAAGAAGGGACACAGCAGTTGGGTTGGATAATATTTCATACAAAATGTTGAAAGCATTAAATGGTAACAATTTAAATACCTTCTTAATTATTATAAATTTATTATGGTATAACTCTATAATTCCAAAAGAATGGAAAACAGATTATCTTATTCCTGTGTTAAAGCCTAATAAAAATTTATATGTTGCTGATTCTTATCGGCCCATTACATTAACATCGTGTATAGGAAAAGTTTTTGAACAATTGCTTAAACAAAGACTAGAGTTTTATTTCGAGTCTCAAAATCTATTGCCGTCGAATCAATTTGGATTCAGACGAGGATTTTCAGCTCGGGAAAGCTTAGGGCATTTTTATATCGATATTAAGAAAGCTTTAGAAAATAATCAACATTTGGTAGCAATTTTTCTGGATATAGTGGGTGCATTCAATAATGTAAATCCGAAGATTTTGGCAGATATCTTAATTTCTGTCGGAGTTTCAAATAAACTAGCAATATGGTTATATAATTTTATGAATGGTCGAAAATTATACGTTAAAGTTAGTAATGTTTCATGTATAGGTCCTCGCTTATCTCATGTAGGAGTATCACAAGGTGGTATACTTAGTCCTTTATTATATATTATTTATGTTCATAGAATTAATGATGCTTTAGGGCCTTATGTCCATAATCTCCAATTTGCTGACGACTTAGCTGTATATTGTTATGGTGACAATATTGTGGATACATTATCCAAAATCAATATTGCTCTTAGTAATCTTTCAGTATATTTTTCTTATGTAAATTTGGAAATCAGTCCTTCTAAAAGCAAAATGGTAGTGTTTAGTAATAACAATTTAAATATAGACTCATCTAGTCAGGTGAAATATATGAGCGCTATTATTCCAGTAGAGCCAGAAGCAAAATTTTTAGGTGTAATATTTCAAAATAATTTAAGTTTTAAAAAATATGTCGATTGTGTATCAGATAGAGCCATGATGTCCACTAATATTCTCAGATCTTTAGTCGGCACTACTTGGGGAGCAGACCCTAAAATTCTGTTAATTCTTTACAAGTCGCTGGTTCGAACGCATTTTGAATATGCGTTCTTCTGTTTTTGTAACAAAGAAAAATATGTTGATAAATTAGAAAAACTCCAAAATATAAATTTAAGATTAATTTTGGGAGCCATGAGCACATCACCAATAAATTCGTTGCAAGTTGAATGTAATATACCCCCATTGCCGTTACGTTTTGAATTGCTAAAACTTATGTTTTTACTGAAACTTTATTCTGTTCATGATAACCAATTATTACATAAATTAAAAAATCCATCCTCTCCTAATAATTTCCTCTCTAATAATATAACTGAAATTATTAAAAGTCTACATAACTCCAACATATTTATTAATCAGAAATTAGTTCACAATAGCAATTCATATGATTGTAATTTTTTTAAAACCCCCATTTTTATAAATAAGAATTTACATAATAAATATGATGTCTATGATTACATATCTCAATGGAACAATTATAGGCATATGTATACGGATGGTGCTAAAAATAAAGACTGCACGGCTATTGCTGTTTATGATGCCAAGGAAAAAATATCATTCGGTACAAAAATATTGAATAAATCGAGCATATTTACTGCTGAAGCTTACGCTATTATCTCAGCGCTAGACTATATTGGTGAAACAAACAATAATGATAAATGGGTCATATTAACGGACAGCATGAGTGTCTTGTTGGCCCTTGCGAATGTTTCTTCTAGTAAAACATCTTTCGTTATACAAAATATTCAAAGGAAAATATATGATTTTAAAAAACGGCTTAATATGGATATTAATCTTATCTGGACTCCAGCTCACGTTGATGTCACTGGCAACGAAAAAGCTGATGAACTGGCTAGGTTCATCACAAACTGTCAAATTCAAGGAAAAGAAAAATACATGTTAATCCCAGCTTCAGATTTTATCGTTGAAATAAGAAAAACAATTAAAACTAAATGGAAACAACAGTGGGAAGAATCCATAAAAGTTAAAGGGAAATGGTTCAGAGAAATACAGCAAGAATTTAAAACGCCATGGTTCGTTCAAGGAAAATATGTGGAAAGAAAATTTTATTCAATTTTATGTCGTCTTAGAATTGGACATGGAAGATATAAAAAGCATTTGCATAGGATGAAAATGGTTTCGTCTCCTATATGTGATTATTGTTCTGCCGACGAAGATCAATCATTAGATCACTTGTTTTTTGAATGTCAACATTTCGCAATCCAGCGATTAATATTTATTGATAAATTGATCAATATATATGATAAAATGGAGATCCCGCGCTCCATCCAGAATTTATTAAAGAACACAGAAACATACAAACCCATTTTCGAGTACGTAATAACAACATTTCAAGATATATAACTACTGAAGACAAGTATTAGAAAAAAAAAAAAAAAAACGAAAATATTACTGAAGACAATGGCTGTATGGGCTGAGTCCTTTTGCCTTTCCCTAAAAAGGGAAAAACAGAACCAAAAGTTCAAAGTCACTCAGAGGGCAATGGAAAAGGTTATGCTCCGAATTTTCCTGCTATATGAAATGAGGAGATGGTGAAACTGAAGTGTCAATAGGCAGCTCAGCTCATAGCTCGTAGGACAGGTGGCCGTTGTGCCAGTAAAGTCCCCGAGTAGCGACCGCGGAACTGAAGACGCAACGTGGAAAGGCCTCCAGCAACCAAGGAAAGCATTGGATGCAAGCAGCGCAGTATCGATCGTAGTGGAGATTTTTGGGGGAGGCCTTTGTTTACCAGTGGATGTCTTCCAGGCTGATATGATGATTATGATGATGTTATAAAGAAGTTTGATCGGATATATCCGACTGACTCATCAACGCTATTTAGAGATCACAATAGTTTTGAGTTTAAATTAAACAAACATCGGAACTTTCTAAACAATTTAAAGTTACCAACACACTTACTTAGCTTGTCTTAAGAAAACCCCAGAACAACTCAGTCGCATCACTACACTACTAAAAAACAAAAATGATGCAGAACTTGAATCACAGTTTCAGTTCTATAAACAGCTTTGGCAAGAGCGTTCATTTATGTTAGTAACGTTATCAAGATTTGGAGTGGAAGTCACTTTCAGCGTTACCAGTAAATTTATAACTGAAGAAACTGCAAAAAAATAATATAAACCCTGCTGAAATTGATGTAATCTATACATATAAATAAAATTGGAGTGTCTGTTTGTAATATTGAAATAACCGTTTTTTACTACATGCATATGAATATAAATACGGCATATAAACCAAAATAACATTTTTAACAATTTTTGTCTGTCTGTCTATCTGTCTGTTCGTTCCGGCTAATCTCTGAAATGCCTGGACCGATTTTAACGGGACTTTTTTAGCAGATAGCTGATTTAGTAAGGAGTAATTTAGGCTATTTTTATTTTAGAAAAATAACGTTAAACTCCACGCGGATGAAGTCGCGGGAACAGCTAGTGTTGAATAAATGTCTATTATTATTGGAGATTTATCGTCAGAGTAGACTCGGCAAGATTTATAATTTGTAGATAGTCACACTGAATAACGCATGCCATTCGTTCGTTCATTCGTTCGTTTCGTTCTTATCTTCCGTCACTTTACAACTTCTAATTCACATTTTTTACGCTCACTCGTTGTACCTCATGTAATCTCCCCTCAACAAACGTTGGCAATACGTCGACAAAATGAGTGTCGAAAATCCTACCAGTGATAATGATTGTGAATCGGTAAGTATCGAAATTATTTCTTACAGATAAAACCTATCATTTAGTTAGTATTTCTATAAATAAAGCTCCCCGGTTACGTCTCACTACTAGTGTACATCACAGTCAGCACGAAGCGAAATTTTTCTAAGTCCCAATATGGCGTCAACTATAGAGTCCAGAAAGAAATGAAGCGTCGGTCGAAATTACATTTTATTTAAATATATTATTTATATTTTCAGTTATTAGTATATTGCAGTTTTCGATTACAGTTATTATATGTAAGTTTATGAATTCTATTTTTTCTTTACAGGGAAAGGTAAATGGCACTAAAAATGAACACGTGAACGGTGTTCACAACGGATACAGCAGCTCCGATAAACATAAAACCAGCCACAAATCATCAAGCAAAGACAAGCACCGTGATAAGGATCGTGATCATAAAAGTTCCAAGCACAGCTCGAGCAGGTTAGTTTTCTAGAAATTTCCATGTCAATAAAATAACATTATTGTAATCACTAGGTAATATTATTGCCTTTTCTTTTCAGAGATAAAGACAGACATTCGAGTAGTAAAAGTCACAGTAGTAGCTCCCACAAATCATCCAGCAAAGATAAGGAGCGCAGCGAAAAAGATCGTGGCGATAGAAATAAGGAAGAATCCAGCAGTGCTAAGGATAAAGAACGCGGTGACAAGGACAAGCATCGCAGCGATAAGGATAGGCACAGAGACAAAGAGAGAAGTGACCGTGATAAGGACAAACACAGGAGTAGCAATGGGGAAAAGAAATCTTCAAAGGATAAGGAGAAAGACAAAGACCACAGAAGCTCCTCATCAAAGGATCATAAATCTAAAGACAGAGACAAAGAACGTGATCGTGACAAGGATCGGCATAGAAGTGATAAGGACAAACATAGAAGTGATAAAGACAAAAATTCCAGTTCAAAGGATAAACACAGGTTAGCAATATGTTTTTACCGCTTGAGTCCCATAATCATGTAAACTTTCACTGGATCAAAAATATGTATAACACGTAAAGTTTAGAAACCATTATTTCTAATACATAAGACATTTTTGGCTTTACAAATATTAAAACTGTTTAAATTAAATTATAACAAGTAGGTAAGTGAAACCACACAACATACCATCATAACTGTTAATGCAGTTGGCATAGTCTCGTACTATGCCAACTGCATTAACAGCTGTCATTGTTGTGGTGAATGCAACACTTGAAATATATGCTTATATTGATACATTTTCTTTTGTGTCGGCCAAACTTGAATTAGCAATCTTGGGTTTTAGGGTAGTAAACCATTAGACCACAAGGACTTATTAAGGAAATAATATAACAATATAATGACTACTAAAATACTAGATTGTTTCTAGATTGATAAAAATATTTTTTCTTTTATTTCAGCTCAAGTAAAAATAAAGAAAGAGTTAATGAAAAGTTAAAATCTGAGTCTGACTCACAAGATACTCCTGTCAAACATGAACCTATGCAGGTGCGTAATATTACCCTCCTATTAATTACATATTAACTCGCTGTACCGTAATTTGAAGCCTGTAAATGAGTATGTACACTCACATCATACTCTGTATACATTAATGTTATATATTTAATAAATCTCTTGCCAGTTCTTCTCAATTGAATCTGTGTACTGAACTGGATGGTAGGGAAAAAAAATTGATACAAAAAATATGTTGGTATTTTTTATTTGATTTGAATTATTAATAACAGGTGGATGAACCAGAAATTAAAATGGAAATTAAAGCAGATAGTGATGATGGATACACAGGAATCAATAACACCACAGCATCATCTTGTGACTATTCTTTGTCACAGTTCAAGGATGAACCTCTCTCAGAACTGCCCCCCGAAGAGGAAAGTGAAGATGACACATCACTGGTAAAAGCAGTTTATACATAAAAAACTGGCTGTTCCAGTAAACATTGTTTTGACAAATTAATTGGAGTAATATTGTATAATATAAGATAAATTAATATAATGGTAGAAGGGTGAAATTTAGGTTCGTTTGATTTTTTTTAATACTGATCTATTAAAAAAAGAGTTTCACAAAAATATCAACTATAATACAACAGTAATTATCTCTATTTAACTAATACCCTTGATACCATAGTATGTGATTCATATTGTGATAACTTCTAGTTTATAAATGAAAAATACATGTAGTAATTTGATTATAATGTATTTTTAATATATAATTAATAGTTGTTTACTATATACAATAAGTTGAGTATGTAATGTTGAGGTGAATAAAGTGGACCTTTCAAATCTTAGACCAACCTGACTTCAATATAACAAACCTCAGGTTAACAAATTACTGATATAATGAATGTTTACTGTTCCCTTCTGATTTGTGTTGAATTTGTACTGTATTAACATTTAATCACTTACTGAAATTTCACAGGTGGGTCATACTACGACAAAACGACGCATGCCCAGTGAAAGTGAAGAAGATATACCATTACTTCAACGGAAGAAATCCAAGAAGAAAGTAAAAAAAGGTAATCAAGTAAATAAATAGTAATCATAATAAATTATGTAATAGTATTTTATTAGTAATAGTGTGTAAACAATATTTAGTAATCACTGATACAAACAATCTATTGTTTTTATTAATTTATATACCTTTGTTTGTATTTAAACTACTCGATGGCCCTCAAAATACATTGAATGAGAACTGGTAGATGTTTTCTTTTAAGATAAATAACCAAAATGTGTTTTACACTACAAATGCAGCATGCACTAAAAGTTGCTTTAACATAGTTTTATGCTTTTTATTTCTGCATTAATTGACAGATTTAATATCTAGATATATAATCTTATACAGAACCTATATATGATGATGATGATGAAGAGGAGGAAGAAGTGAAGCCCAAGAAAAAGAAAAAAAAGACAGAAAAGGTGAAATCAGCCCCCACTAAAGTTAAGGCAGAACCCGCAGGAGTCAGTCCTACTAAGCGGAAGAAAAAAGATGAAGAAGAACAAGAAGTCTGGAAATGGTATGTTATTCTTATTTTATTTTTGTCATAATGTTGAAACTATCAGTAACACACCCTTATTTTATTAAAAGTAAATTTGATATAGGTACACTAAGGTTTAACCAAATGCAAACAGTGTTAGACTTTACTGGTGAATAAGCATACTCCTTATGAATGATAAAAATAATGACTTGGCTAAATACTATTACTGGAATTTGACCAATAGGATTCATTACCTTTTTTTTGTTCATTTCATTTTCCCTCAATTGTTGAAAGTATTTTGATCATAATGTAAGTATAGGCTATGTGATGTCACTAACTGTCATAAATTGAATATGACACTCTATTGAGCTATAAAGACGAGCTATATTTTTTATTCCTGTGGTAATTACACACTTTTATGTGTAATTACCACATTTAAATAATTTATACAGTTAGTTTTAAAGGGAAATCCAGTAAATGAATCAAATTTAGATGTGATTTGTATCAAGACGTACAGTAAAAACTATTGAGTCTATTATACTATAGATACTATTAGTTTTTTTTTTTTACATTTAAAGTAATTTTTTGTGCAAACTAATATAGTATTTGTTTGTTTATTAGCAAAGGACTCATCCAATTGTCTCTAATGGTTTCTATGATTGCTGTTTGGCATTCAATTTACATTAATATATATATTAGTATGTCTTGTGAGAATGCCACTGCTCAGTTTTGATATCAATACATCTCCTGTAACGGTCTTCTTTTTTTTTATTTTATTGTGTGCAAAAGATTAGAAAATATTATAACCAAAAATAATTAGAATAAAAATTAAGTCCAGAAACTAAAGTACAACTACAGAGAAATCATCTAAATATGTAAAACAAGAAAATATTCTCACTTGAAAGTGTTAACCCATTTCTGTTATTGGTATAAGCGCCATCTATTAACAAACTAAAGATTAATAACTCAAGAAAAGTAGTGTACTAAAACTTACCACACACTAGCACCAGATGGCGGCATACACTAACATTAGATAGGTGTCACTCGTGCCATATTTAGGTTATGTTGTCCATAAGTATTAGAAATAGGAATTATGTGTATCAAAGCATTAATAAAATTTATTACAATAAAACCTATAATTAGCATAAATTCAATCAATAGTATTTTGATATTTAAACGCCAGAGAAGGTTTCAAAGACCAAGAAGGTGTTTGTTTTTATTAAATATATAGTGTTTTAATTACATTGATCAGTGTAAAGTCTAATGTGTATATGTTTATAGGTGGGAAGAAGAAAAAAAAAGTGATGGTACTAAGTGGAATTTCCTGGAACACAAAGGCCCCTTATTTGCACCACCTTATGAACCCTTACCAGAAAATGTTGAATTCCGATATGACGGCAAAGTTGTTAGATTATCAGAGGACGCGGAAGAAGTCGCTGGTTTCTACGCGCGGATGCTCGACCATGATTATACTACAAAAAAGGTATTTAACGATAATTTTTTTAAAGACTGGCGTGCAGTTATGACTACTGAAGAGAAAAAACTCATCAAAGAGCTCTCTAAATGCGACTTCAAACAAATGCAAAAATATTTCGTGAGTGTTTCAGAAAAAAATAAAAATCGCTCAAAGGAAGAAAAAGCGGCATTAAAAGCGAAAAATGAAGAGATACAAAAAGAATATGGGTTCTGTGTAATTGATGGGCACAAAGAAAAAATTGGTAATTTCAGAATAGAACCTCCTGGTCTTTTCAGAGGTCGTGGAGAACATCCTAAAATGGGTATGTTGAAAAGGCGTGTTATGCCAGAAGATGTTCTGATCAACTGTTCAAAAGATAGCAAAGTACCGAAACCTCCATCTGGACATAAATGGAAGGAAGTTAGACATGATAATACAGTCACATGGTTAGCTTCTTGGACTGAAAATGTACAAGGTCAAGCTAAGTATGTCATGTTAAATCCTAGCTCAAAATTGAAAGGTGAAAAAGATTGGATGAAATATGAAACTGCACGAAAACTACACAAATGTATTGATGATATAAGGGCAAAGTATCACTCAGATTTGAAAGCTAAAGAAATGCGTGTACGACAACGTGCTGTGGCTTTGTATTTTATTGATCGGCTTGCATTAAGAGCTGGCAATGAAAAAGATGAGGATCAGGCTGATACAGTAGGGTGTTGTTCATTGCGTGTTGAACATATTAAATTATACAAGGAAAAGGATGGCAAAGAATATGTTGTAGTGTTTGATTTTCTTGGTAAAGACTCTATTAGATACTATAATGAGGTACCAGTGTTGAAACGCGTATTTAAGAATCTCGAACTGTTTATAGAAAACAAAAAGGATAGTGATGATCTCTTTGATAGACTTAACACACAAACATTAAATGAACATTTAAAGGAATTAATGCCGGCACTTACTGCTAAGGTTTTCCGTACATACAATGCCTCAATTACATTACAACGACAATTAGATGAACTTACAGATGCAAATACTTCTATACCTGAAAAAATTTTAGCATACAATAGAGCTAACCGAGCTGTTGCTGTGCTCTGTAACCATCAGCGTGCTGTTCCTAAAGGTGAGATATATTATACACATAACATGTTTATTTTCATACTTTTCGTGTCATTAATTTTGTTTATTTTTAAAACAACAATTTATTGTTGAAATAAATGTTGTAAGTAAACTTGAGTAGTCATGTAGTTTACTATTCCAGTTGTTACTGGAATAGTAAACTATGCATTGTCTTTCCAGGCATCTAACGTGTCATTTCTCCTCTAAAAACATTCTCTTTTATATAATAATATTATTTTTAACAAGTATAAACTGAAAGATTCAATTCTAATTATCTTAAATCCCTAATCTTAATTGTTATATTTGGATTTGTAATTTATGTACTTGTGGCACTTTTTAACTAATTGTATAGAAAATAAAGGTGATATTTGAGATGAATGTAAAATTTATTAACCTACAATGACAGTTACTTCTTCTGTAACTAATTTTAAAGCATTAATAAACTATGTATTGGAACATAGTTTATTAATGCTTTAAAATTAAAAACTTCCTTTGATGTTCAATTTAATAATTACAGTATTTAATTGTTTGTTAAAAATTTAGGTCATTCAAAATCAATGGAAGCCCTCAAAGAAAAAATTCAAACCAAACGTGATCAGATTGATGAGGCCGAACATGATCTAAAAGATTCACAAAAGGCCGCAAAACGCGGTTCTGTTAAAGAAAAACTTGTTTGTGATAAAAAGAAGAAGGCGTTGGAGCGCCTAAAAGAACAATTGAAAAAACTTGAACTGCAAGAAACTGATCGTGATGAGAATAAAACAATAGCTCTGGGAACTTCTAAGTTGAATTATCTTGATCCACGTATTTCAGTGGCTTGGTAAGAAATTCCTTTTTAAATATATTTTAACACATTACTTTAAAATTCTGTTTAAAAAAATAGGCTTATCTATCTATCTATCTTTCATCATAAGAGTTTTCTTTTCATACATTTTATTTTCTTGAAATAGATTCTGCCGGTTCCTCAAATACAAAATAAATATGATAAATTGTAAGAAAATCTGATCTGACTTATTATTAAAAAATATATTGCGGTAAAAACTTTTAACCCTTTTTTTTTTCATTGTAATTACTTCCTTAACAGGTGTAAAAAACATGGCGTACCGCTCGAGAAGATCTACAACAAAACACAGCGTGATAAATTCCGGTGGGCCATTGACATGGCCGGCCCCGAGTATGTCTTCTAAGGGAGAAGTTAGCATTAGCTATTATATTATAGAAATGTTTGTGTTGAGTATGCAGACATACCACTTAACAAATTGATATACTTTGTTCATTCGTGGTATGATTTTATGAATTTTTGACTAAATGAAAATTCAAAGACAAATGTGCAGTAAATGATTTTGTGGCGTTATTTACAAAAAAGTTGTTTTGAACTAGAATGATTTCTTTTGGTCACATTATTTTTAGATATGCTTAACATGTTTCGGCTTGGCGGAGACATTAAACATGATCTTATCACGCATTAATGTCGCTAACCGAACTAGGTAACCAGTTGGGCAAACCTGAAAATTACTAGTAAAGACAACATTATTTAAATTATTAATTCAATGACTCACAAATTTTAAAAACATTTTGGACCCTAAATTAAATAATTGTTCCTCTCTTTTTGGACTACAAATTAGAAGTCTGAACCTAATTTATTTATGTTTAGAAAACTTAGTTTCAATTTTTTCTTATAGTTAGGTTAAGATTTAGTAGTAGAAACTAGTTTAAGAATTTTCTTGTATAGATTTACAATCTCCTATATTTCCCGCTCACATTTATTATCTTTTACCAATTTAATTTTATAGTTATAAGAGAGTATCAATTACATTAATATTTACATTACAAATTCTATTACATAAATGTTGTTGAAAAATGTAATACCTATGTATTTGTGTTATTTACAGTACAATGTTCAGCAATAATTCCAAAATATAATCAGCTGATAAAGTGAATATTATATTAAATAAAGAGCAATAGCTATTGTCATATGTTTAGGAAATAAACATCTGGGAAAATCATGTGAGTAGCATATTAATTAGATGAAATGATGTAAATTATTGTGGAGTGTATGTGCACAATGTGCAGTAGTAGTAAATGTTGTAAAGTAAGAAATAATGTTATTTTATTTTTATATAAATAGGATCCGAAATTTTGGCATAAGCAAAGCCGTCAATGTTACAAAGGTACAATGTTTAAGATATATTTGTATTATTACACATGTGTGTATTCTGTAAATAGTAAATTTTTACTATGTCATACAATTGTGAAATGAGATTATCGCGAATTAATAAAAAACATTGACACTAGGATTTCAAGTTGTTTTAATCATCAAGTAATAATATTATAATTACATTAATTAATCAGGTGCATCATCCTGAAAAAAGTTGACATGTTCCATACCTTCAGGCATGTACTCCAGACCAGATTCATTTTTATGCAATAGATTATATCCCTTACCATATCCTGAAAAATAAAATTTTATACAACAAACTAGTAGTACAGTATACATTATATTCAGATCTTAGACAAATACACGTCCCAGACGTCGTACAAAATCTGAGTCGCTACCTCTGTTTCACCTATTTCAACCACCAAACTGCTTTGTAAGCAACCTGCATTTCGTAGAGAAATGGCAGTAAAATTACTGGGCAAGTACAGAGACATCCTACAGAATAGCAACGCATAAAAGGACGTCAAATTCTGATGTCTGCAGTGCTCTAAAGCGACTACAGCCACATTTTAGTCATTTAAAAAAAGTGATGCAAAATACAAAATTGAGTAAGTTACATAAGCCGGCATTTTATATAGACATGTCTGTATAAAATGCCGTTGTGGGAATTATTTCATAATCAAAGTAAGATAAAATTTCTTTTTTTAGTGTTATTCGATGCCCTGCTATGTTAAACCAATAAGTTGACAATAAAATTTCTACTAGATACAAATTAACTTCAACTTTTACTTAAGATTGTGTCGGAAAACCTACCAATCAAGGTCGGAGATGTTTTCAATAAAATATCACATTTAAAAAATTAAATATACCTATTTCTTTCATAAGTTTTGTTGTTGCATTACGTAAGTGTAGAGGTACTGGAGGTAGAGGGCCTTTCGCTTCAACTAAATTACGTTGACAACGTTTCATGGCAGCGTATACTTCTGTACTCTTGGGTGCTCTAGCTAAACGGACGGCGCATTGTACTAGCAACACGTCGCATTCTGGCTTGCCTATATGTTGACAACCTTGTAAACATGCCACGGCGTCTGCCAGAGCGGTATGATCAGCTAACCCTGTTATAGAGAAATTGCATGTTCATATATTTATTTTATACTAACTGTAACTGTACTCGCGACTTCGTCCCCGTGGAATTTAACTTTATTTTTCTAAAATAAAAGTAGCCTAAGTTACTCCTATTATTAACCTTGATACGTGCCAATAAGACGCCTCCCCCAAAGATCTCCACGGCGATCGGTCCTGCGCTGTGTCTTCCGGTCCGTGGTCGCCACTCGACTTTACTGCCCCAACGGCCATCAGTCCTACGACCTATGTACCCCGCCCATTGCCACTTCAGAGTCGCAATTCTTCGGGCTATGTCGGTCACTCTGGTTCTTCTGCGGATCTCCTCATTTCTGATTGGATCACGCAGAGTAACTCCGAGCATAGCCCTCTCCATTGCCCTCTGAGTGACTCTGAGCTTGTTCATGGGGCCCATAGTTAGCGACCACGTCTCTGTGCCGTAAGTCATCACTGACAACAAACATTGGTCGTAAACCTTCGTCTTGAGACACTGCGGAAATTTGGACGAAAAGATATATCGGAGCTTCCCGAACGCTGCCCATCCAAGTTGGATTCGACGATTGACCTCTTTCTCGAAATTGGATCTACCTAGCTGGATAGTTTGCCCTAAGTATACGTACTGATCGACAATTTCGAGTGTAGAATCTCCGATTATTACGGGAGCAGGTACGACATGGACGTTTGACATAATTTTCGTCTTGATCATGTACATCTTAAGACCAACTCCTTGTGAGACTCTACTGAGGTCTTCGAGCATTTTGCTAAGGTCTTCCAGGGTCTCAACCATGACCACGATATCGTCGGCAAATCGAAGGTGATTGATGTACTCGCCGTTAATGTTGATGCCCAGCCCGCTCCAGTTCAGAAGCTTGAAGACTTAGTCATAGACATTGAAATAAATAGTCGTTCAGAAATATTATCGTTCAATTGGTTTTGAAAATACATCATGCCGACACGTAACTAGAGTAACGGTACGAATGCCTTTAAATAAAAATAAAAAAAAGATGTACCAATATCTTCACAGGCAGCGCGAATGAGACGGCGTGCTATATACATGGGATCTTCACCGCCATGGAGAGCTCTAGTGGTCCAATACAGGGCTGCGTTGTCATCACTGGCCCGTATCGACTTGTGTATCGCTGATATCATATTATAATGTTCCTCGCCTTGACGGTCGTACAACATGTGTGATCTCTGTTAAACGTATCAGTTCCTTCCTGTTATTAACACAATAATTGGAAATTTACAATATTAGTGAGCGTAAATATAAAAAGTACCCTGTTATACCTTTATTCCATTTTTAATGTCTTCGAGAGCTAACACCGTTGGACCACCAATATGTATTTCCTTGCCAGAGTCTCTCGCTGCAAGCGTAAGCTCTAGAGCACCCAAAGCAATTCGTGCATCGCCATCGCAAATTTCCGATAACCACCGCAATGACTCTTCTTGTACTATAAACCTGTAAATTTATACTAATTTTTGAACTGTTAAAAACTATTAGACTCGTGATTCAATTGTGTTTTACAAGATCTTATTATGTAAGTCGCTGTACGCTGATTAATGGCTGAAATGGGGCTGTAATCTCACCTCGGTATAAAATCATTCTTCGGTTTTTTACTTTCCTGTGGACCTGTTATCAATACTTCATTCCTTATAAGAGCCCGTCGTAATATTAGCATCACGTCATCGACAGACAGTTTTTGCATTACAACTACTCTGCACCTACTGAGCAGAGCATTGTTTAAACTAAAAGAGGGGTTCTCTGTTGTCGCTCCAATCAGTGTTATTGTGCCACTTTCAACATGAGGCAAAAACGTGTCCTGTTGAAGTTTGTTAAATCTGAAATAAAATATATAAGTTATGACAGCCTCGGTGGTCTAGCGGTTTAGCACACCGCCTTACTTCCGATGGTTGCGTGTTCGATTTCTAGCACGATGGAAACATTTGAATTCAAGGGTATGATTTTTTGTATTGGTCTGTGTGTTTTCTATATACCTATATTATGTATGTATTTACAATAAAAGAATTTAAATATTTCTATTACTACCCATAACACAAGTTCTGCTTAACTTGGGTCTAGAGGATGCTGTGTGAATTTTATTGGGTTATTATAATATACATGATAACATAGGTAGATGTTCAAATAAATATATGATTGTTTATTATCTTTAGATATAATAAAATCATGACGAACTAAAATAGTACATATGGAAAATTCATTGACCCACCTGTGAATTTCATCCATGAATAGTACTGTTTGTCTTTTAAATTGGATCTCATTTTTAGCCACTTTTACTATCTCTTTAACATCATTTATTCCTGACATAGTAGCTGACAGTTTTACAAATCTCATATGATTCTGTTCCTTGCAAATATTAGCTACTACATTGGCAATTGATGTCTAAAATAAAAAAGCACCTTATACAGGATATGCCACTATTTTCTGTATAAAATAATAGGGACAATATATTTACATTTAAATGGTATTTAAGTGTCTGTTTGTAATCCTAATTAACAGCTTTTCAATAAATTTATATATAGTAAGTACATCATTCATCATCGTTTAATTAATTTTAATTTTTTATCTATGTTTGTTTGTTCTTGCTTTTCTCCAGAACGACTAGACAGATTTTGATGGGACACACATCATTTTCACATATAGCTAATTTCATAAGGAGTAACTTTGCTACTTTTATTTCAGAAAAACTATTTATCTTTCATGCGGATGAAGCCATGTGTAACAACTAGTACTATATAAATATATAACAACAACCCTGTACATTGATTAGCAGATGACAATTATAATTCAGTTAATTTCAATTCAACTGGTTATTAAAGTACTACAAAATATTTTTCCTGAACAAGATTTAACAGGCCCAAGACTAAATTACATTGAAAGTTATATTCAGGACATTTTAAAATTTCTTTCTCAGCATTAAGTATCTAGCAAGTAATGGAGAAGTAGTTATGGTTAGTTGAAATCCTGCATTCATTAATGCTACATTAAGAATTTTCATAAAATGTGGTAAATACTATGGTAATAATATGAATATTTTAAGAGAAAGAAGTCAGTCTCTCCATCGTCAGAATCAAAAACATTAACTTTTAAACTTACAAAATACAGGGTAAGATGTAAAGCTAGTCTCATTAAAGTGATGAAGGTGAAGGTGAAGATGGTATAGGGGACCAATACATATTATATAAACAATCATGTCAGTAGTAAATTAAACAAGAAATAATAATAAATACATATAAATATTTGTAACATTTAACAAATATGTAATGTAGTTAGTACCAGACTATACATCTATGTGTAGTCTGGTTAGTATACTAGCAAGTACAGCCCATCTAAATATATTATAAAGGCATGTGTAGAATACTCTCTACCACAATCACTTGCTGTAGAGGAAACCCCACTACACATCTTTCAATTCTTGTCCCTGACGGGTCTAGCTAACAAATTTTGAAAACTAGCACTGCATGGTGCTATAGGTCTACAGTACCTAACAATGACAAACCCCTAAATAAAAAACAATACCATCATCAGTTGACTATACCTTTCCACAACCAGGAGGGCCCCATAATATCATGTTAGGAATTTTTTTTTGTTCAAGCATTGCATGCAACATAGAACCATGTCCAAAAGCCTCAGCTTGGCCGACAATATCATCCAATTTCATTGGTCTCATACATTCGGCTAAAGGAGCACCTTTCTCCTTGGTAATCTCCTGTTTGGGATTTTCTTTTGATGATTGAGATACCTGAACATCAAAATTATAAACATTGGAAAAACTAATTTTACTGTTACCAACAAATAACAGTGACTGAAGTTCTGAACATTTTTAGCATACTTTATTGAAATTATTAAAAATCATTAATTATTTCTTGGTTTTTATTTTTAACCATTTAAAATTAAATTCTAACCATTTCTATTATTGTTACAACAGGACTCATCAAAGAATTAATATTTTATTTGCAACTATCAAATGCATAATCAATTTCAACTCTTAAATGAAAAATTGTTGTAACTATCAAATAGTGTTCCTTTTAATTCTGCAAATCAAGCCCTAGTGAATTATCAACTGTTTTATCTTATATAAGGTCTAGAGCAGTGGTGTGCGTAAATACCTTCACATAGGTAAACTAACTTCCTAATTCTTGTAAATAACTAAATGTTTAAAAGTATTTTTTTTATTTAATAAATATTTGTACTTATATGCATAATTAAAACCATTTTAATTATGCATACAAGTACATAAAATACTGTGTTGTGTAAAAACCTCTAATAAATGGAAATTTCAGAAATAGTTTCATTTTAAATATGTTGATTATTTAAAGAAACCTCTACTATCAACACAGGGGTCGCACCAAATTTAAAAAAAAACGGGGCTCGCAAATGAAGATCACTGGTCTAGGGCACAGAATAAAAAAGTATTAAGCCTCTTTCCTGTAGGACAAGCTCTACTTGCTTTCAGATTAAATGGTGTTAAGTAATGAAATATCTATGGATTCTTCTATATAATAAAATGTGACACTTAAAGAAAAATTGTACTATTTTTATTGCCTTAAAAAATGACAAAGTACCTACCTTATTTGTTTTTGGCGAGTTATGACTCGAAATTGTATCCAATTTAATTTTCTTTTCGTGTGAAGATATTTCTTTAAGATGTAGACTGTTTCTTTTACAATTAACATTACGTTCTGGAGTATTTAAAAATAAACATTTATTAACATGTTCTTCAATGATCGCCTTTCTGAACTCCTTATTACAAACAGGACATGATATGAATTCAATACTATCACTTAATTTTCCGGACTCCATTCTGTTTTCTTTGAAATCTTTTTGGTTGTCCGTATATAGTCGTATTTTTAATTAGACGAAGCTAGCTGACAGTAGCTAATGTCACATTGTAAAATAATGTTGCCATATTTAAAGTAATAGTGATGCGTTCAGTTCTCAGTTAGATGAATGAACAATGAGTGTGAATAGTTAATCATTACAAACTACAAAAGAAAATTGTATAAAAGTGCTCTGATATAAGTTACTAGTAACTACAATCAGTTTTTTGACGGCTTATTACAAAGCGCGCGGCTACTAGTGCCAACACAAATCAACGTCGCGAGCGTCTGTCGCCATTTTGTTCGTAATTCGGCTTCTAACCTCTGGTCTGAGAGCACCAATGTTTTTTTTTTGCGCTCACGCTGTTTTATTAAGTTTTTCCTCATGTTGTGTTTGTGGTAATTGTTGGGTATATTGTATATTTACTATATTGTTTCATACAAACAATATGGATCCTCAACCAAGCACGTCAAGCCAAAGCTTGTCTCCAAGAAAGACGTTACCGAAAAACTTATGATGCAAAACGTCTACAAATACGTATTTGAGGAAGCTGCTTCACTATTACCTATTGAGGCTCCCAAAAAAACAAATGTATTTCGAAAACAGCTGACATTTTGGGAATTGGTGTGACCTCAGTCTACAATGTATTAAAATAATACAAAGTGAACAATTTAAGTCTCCGGAGAAACGTGGAGCGAAACACTGTTTCAAAGATAAATTATTATCAATTTTTAGACAGATTTATATTATAATTTATAACTGAAAGCGACAATGATTTTTTTATCTGATGATGAATAAAAACAAATTTTGTAATAAGCGCAGTTTTTTATTTTTATTACCTAACTATATTATGTTATATATTGTTATATTTTGTACATCTATAGTTTCAATTACATTATGAATTGTAATTAGGACAGTCTTAAAAGTTTCCACGCAATTTTTTCTTTACGTTTAAAATACTCGGTATTCAGTATAGGTAGATACAATAGGAACATAATCGTCGTAAACTCGTTGGTATGTATAAAGCACGGCTAAAATTCAAACCCCGTACCCGATATCGGCAGTTCGGCACACTAACTATTCACTAGACAATCGAGGCAATTCCATTAATTCAGGAGTTTTTTCAATGATTCACTTTGTCACAACACTATTTTTATTTCATCAAATACTGACAACACAGTAAACGTCAGTTGACTTCGTCTAATTAAAAATATGACTATAGCTTTAGTTTTGTTTTTTGAAGTTGAGTTACATCGTATTAAATTCTGTTTATATATTAATTATTTTTACCCACTATCTTTCCTCCCTTTTACTATTATCTTATCAGTACTTACGCCTAACAAAGATAAGATTTAAAAAAATTAAATTATTATATGTTATATAGTTACGAATTAAACAAAGTTTAACAAGTAAATAGACAATAAGATAATACGTATAGAATGTAAGTAGAAGTTTTACGTAGTTGATTTTAGACTTTATCACTGTTGATGTCTAGGTAGGTTTTGCATTGGTTGTACATTTTTGACACAAAACAAAACTTCACAAAAAAACAAGGTTTTGACTGTCAGCAGTCAGCACGATCAGTCAGAATTATTTAGTTTTTTTTTTATTTATTCATGGACGTGGATTCTTTCAGTCGAACACATTGTAGAAGAAATAACACAAACATTTAATCTTACAAATGATACATTTAGGCTATTCATTAAATAATAAGAACAACAATCAATAAAAATATTATTTTTGGTTTCTTTGTAAGGGTATTGTGTCGTGAACAAATATGTACGAATCGTGAACATCACAAAATTAATTTCTGATTCCTGATGAATACTGATGATATCCCTTATTCTTCCTGTCGTAATGGACACATAATTATGATTGGTGTGGGTTACTAAGGTTAGGTATCTAACACGGGTAGAAATGTCTTAAAATACTACATATTTAATTTAAAAAATTACCATTTCTGAATTGTTGGCTTGTGCTGGTTTCAGAAGGTCGTACCTACTTAAAGTAGGCTACTATATAGTTCACTCGATGTGTAGGTACATCGAGTCCAACCTCAGTGAATAATTTGGTAAGTATCTGTGTGTATATTATAATGGTTTGGTAAGTAGGTATATATTTACATTCAGTTATATGTAAATTAAAATTACAAATTAATTTAAAAAAAATAATTAAGCGCCCGCTCATTTTCTCACTTCCCGCCAAAACGTTCAGAGTTTCTCAGTTGCCAGTGTTGTGACGGACTGCCACTGTATGCTCCCAAGCAAGTGATAGGGTAAAAGTCATATTTTGCTGGAATGTCAATATTTTTTATGTGGTACCTTACTTTCGTCACCGATAGACATTTTTGCCCAATAGCTTTTTTATATAATACTCTATTAATTCTTATTGGCAGTTGTTGAAATTATCGGATACTATATTGTTATATCAATAACTTCTATCATTAGGTGACTATAGTGTTCACTTATTTGTTATTTATGTCTACTACAGTGACAAACAAAAATTAGTTTTGATGATATTTGTACAGTAGATACTAGTCTGAAAATATATCCTTTGAAATAGAAAAATAAATCTTTATATTCAGTTTATAAATGACAAAGTTCTAAATTAAAATATTTTAAAGAATATTGTTGTAATTCTATAGTATTCAGTGGATACTAATATATAGTTTACTGACAATAAAAAGTATAAATTTAAGTATAACCTACAAAACATTTGAATACATACCTCTGAGTTTATAAATACCTATTAAAATTGAAAGTTATAACAGTCAAGTCTAAGTTATAACCACGCACCTATTTACTTTGCATATCGCTCAATGGGTTCAATTTACAGCTGCGCTAACTTACATGATATGTAAATAACGTCACCAATACAAAATTTATAATACCTGCTCCTAGATTTGTTTATTTTTTACATAATAAATCATATCATTGTTCAATTTCTATTAACAGTGCCGAAATGATAATGTATAAATGGTACATTAATATAGTCCGCAGTACTATTGGCTCGCAAGCTAGGAACAACCTCTCAGATCGATCTCCCGTTTAATTCAAACATGGATCAAAATTGTTACGGCCTATATTTTTATTACATACATATTTGTGAAGATGCAACTCCTAGTTGGATCTGACGGATCTGCCCCAGAAATCGCAACCGACTTTCACTAACCTTCATAATACAACTTTCTTAAAAAAATAATAAATCTTAGAAGTTTTAGGCCGGGAGGAAATAATTTATGAAAAAAGGCTCTGGTCCGAGGTCTATACTAGGTACTGTGCTTTTCTGTAATAGGACCCAAGGCACTGAGTATAGCTTTAAAACTACTAGACACTATTTGTGATCTTTTACTTTGTAACATATTACGTAATATGTATATTATACTAATAATTACACATCTTTCAAAACATTTAAATTTTCACTCTCCTATGTATCAATGGATAATGGGTGAATAAAAATGGACATAACGGGTGAAAACCTGTATTTTATTGTACCGGATGAACCAACGGATCATTTCTACCTGGAATAGTATAAACTATATAAACAATAGAAATAGAAATAGAAATAATCTTTATTGAAATAAACTCATTACAAGCACTTTTGAATAGTCATATTTTGATTCTACCACTCATTCGGAATGCAGATTCATCACAAGAAGAATGAGCAAGAAACTTGTGTGTTGCTTTTTTTAATAGTTGTTTTTTTATACAAATAATTACAGTATAACAAGTAAGAGGCATGCGATAATCAACATAGAAATCGCTACGCACTCATTATTAGTGTAATTACATAATATTGTCAGTGCTATGAATTTAAAGTTTTTCTATAAAAACATTATTATCGAATTCTTCAATTTTATAGTAAGCTTTTTTGCAAAGGAACTGTTTTATGTGACATTTAAATGTTTTTTCTTGCAGATTTATAACAGACTCTGGTATTTTATTGTAAAACCTTACGCAATTGCCATAAAACGAATTACTAACTTTAGCCAAACGACATTTAGGTAAAATCAGTTTGTTATTGTTACGTAAGCTTTTATTGGTGCAATCACTAACTCTTTTGAAACTGTCTATATTCTTCCTGGCATAGATGATATTTTCATAACTGTATTGAGAAGCAACGGTGAGGAAATTTGATTCCTTAAAAGACTCTCGCAATGACTTCCTGGAACCCATACCATAAATGGAGCGAATGGCCCTCTTTTGTAAAGTAAATATTGTATTTATATCAGCTGCTTTGCCCCATAACAAAATACCATACGACATAATGCTATGGAAATAACTAAAATAGACAAGTTTAGCCATTGCCACGTCTGTTAATTGTCTAATTCTTCTTACCGCATAAGCGGCAGAACTAAGTCGACTCGCCAATTTAGTAATATGAGCACCCTATTGCAACTTGGAATCTAATGTGATACCTAGAAATACAGTATCGTCAACAAAATTTATAGGTTTATTGTCCAATACGATTTTTTAATCTACTGGCCTTACATTGGGGAGAGTAAATTTGATACATTTAGTATTATTTGCATTTAGTAGCCTTTTATTAGCAGTAAACCATTTCAAAACATAAACGAGAACATCATTTACTTCGTCCATATCATCAATATGTCGATTGACTTTGAATACTAATGAAGTATCATCAGCAAACAGAACTATGTCAGCTATCTTTTCTACCATATAAGGAAGATCGTTTATGTAAACTAAAAATAAGAAAGGACCTAGAATAGAGCCCTGAGGTACACCCATTTTAATACTAGTTCCCTCAGACTTTACACCATTTATTTCAACAACTTGCATTCTATTATTTAGATAGGATTTCATCATGCTTAGTGCTTCATATAGAATACCGTAATGTTCTAGTTTGAGTAAGAGTGTTTCATAATCAACGCAATCAAATGCTTTTGAGAGATCACAGAATACACCGATAGCATCCTGAGACCTCTCCCAACAGTCATAAATGTGTTTCATACAAGCTACACCAGCGTCAGTAGTTGATCTACCGGCTGTGAAACCAAATTGCTGACTGTGAAGCAGTCTAATTGTTTTAAAGTGTTGAAGCATTTGATTGAGCATAATTTTTTCAAACACTTTACTTAGTACTGATAAAATAGAAATGGGCCTATAATTACCTACTTCAGTTTTATCCCCTGACTTATAAAGTGAAGTTATTTTGCTATGTTTTATTAAATTGGGAAAAACACCGTCAAAAATACATTTATTGAAGATAGTTACTAAATATGGAGCAATAACATCTATTGCGGTGTTAATAACTTTAACAGACATGCCCCAATGGTCTTCAGTATTTTTTAAATTTAATTATTTAAAAGTTTTCGTAATTGTAGCAATGTCAATAAATGTAAATTTAAATGTTACCGAACACGAAGCAACATTGTCAATAAGGAATAATTTAGCCTTACTTGAAGAAGAATCTAAAGAAGACGTAATATCAGTTAGAATATTAGCGAAAAATTTTTCAAAAATATTGACTATTTCTTTTGTGGACGTTACTAGTTTATCATTATAATTTAACGTAAAATCATTATATGGACTTTTAACATTGCCAGTTTCTTTATTAATAATATTCCACACTGTCCTTATCTTATCCTTGGATTCTTTAATTTATTTATTTAGATAATTAGACTTTGCTACATTACATACCTTTTTAAAAGTTTTTGAGTATCTTTCTACATAATTTACGAATGTACTATCGAAACGGTATTTGTTTGATCATATAAATCAAATAATAAATTTCTACTTTTAAGAATTCCCTTTGTAGCCCATTCTGAAAATTTTGTTTTGTTACTAATACTGATAGTTTTTTTTGTTAAATGCCTTATTATATTCGTAAGAAACAATATTGAAGAAATCTATATAAAATTTGTTAGGTTCATCGGATTGAGGATAAAAATATAATTTACTACGAACTGATATTTTAAATTTATTTATTTTATAAATAGTCCAGACTCTTGTTAATAGATTAATTTTCCCAATTTTGTTTACGTGATTTGGAAAAATTACTATTTGACCACAGTGATCAGAAGGAAGGTTGTTTATTATTTTATCTAAATACTCACTATTGCTAAATATGTTATCCAAACAAGTAGCTGTGATACGAGTGGGTTCGTGAAAGACATTACTCAAGTCAAAAGATTCAATCTTTTGACTTGAGTAATGTTTACTACTCTATAAACTCATTAATTTAGTTTTTGTGGTGTTATGTGATAAAATGTCAACATTGAAATCACCACACACTATAATTTTTTTGTTAATATTAAATACTTTTTTTAAAATATCCTCCATTACCTCTTCAAATAAATTATAATCACTATTTGGAGGTCTATATACACACATAACTATATAATTTTCTAGTTCCACACAGGAAATTGGAATACAACACTCAACGAAAAGATTGCCAATATCACTACGTTCTTTTACTTTTATATTATTTTTCACCAATATCATAGAACCTCCTCTATTTACTATTTTTCTATTAAAGCAGCTGACAATATTATAATTGTTTAAGCTTAACATCATATTGCTCACTTTGAGCCAATGTTCAGTTAAACATAGAATATCTATATTATTTTTTCTAAAAACAATTGAATAATTAATTCACAGCCGAGAAAACTTTGTATGTTCTGGTGAACAATTTTCAATTCTGATAGCTTTTTCAGCAGTTTAAATCTGCAGTCATATTTAAATTATTGTAAATAAAATGATTCTTGCTAGAATCAATATTTTATTAATACTATTCGAACTATGAAATAAATAGAATTGTTAAAGTATTATAATCCGTAAAATAGTATTGTTTGCATGCAGCGCCAATAGATGGCGCTGTAACAAAATTGAAACTCGCTAACGTTTCGTTTTGTACAAAGTCCATATGTATTTTACTTTATACCATTTTTTGTACCTGTATTTGAAACCGACCAATAAACCTTATATACACAAGTGTAGTGTTTTGGTTTATAGTACCTTTAGGACCTTGTGGTTTTAACAAGAAATCTTAAGAACTATCTTGAATATCGTGTGAAGTGACAGACGAACAAAATTGTACCATCCATATTAAATTTTATTACCGACAATATTCTAAACATGTTTGTTTTTAAATTCGATTAAGTATACTTTCTATTAATGTGATCATAAGGTTTACATGTGGTGATATCATCTATATATAAGTAAGAAGCCATTCTTATATCATAGCAATTAGATAATACATATTTTCGACAGATTTATGTTAAAATTTATTGGATTTTATATAACGATTGAAGTCTTATATTTATATCGCTTAGATACTATATTTAAAGTGCAGTTATTGTTTCAAACTATCTTGGTAGTACCTACTATAAAGAAGTTTGTAAACACTAACGAATATTATAATAAAATAACTTGGTATCTATATATTAAGACTATGCATTCCTCTAGATATATAATAGAAACAGCGTACGTAACTGTGAAAGATTGTCCGACCTCACTCTGTGTTGATCCGTAAATTTTCATATTACAATACACAAAAGAATTAAATACACATACGCCACTTGAAAACATACCTAATTGTTGGTAAGGACAAGTAATGTAAGAAGTATAAGACGTAATGTGTTAAAATATTTATGTCAGTTCATATTATCCTATTATCGGAACTGTTTGTAGACTGTATATAAAATTTGTAACGTATAAGGGAAATCAGAAAAAAGTAAGTAAATCTGATTTACGTTTGCTTAATAATAAAAAATAGTACGATAAATGAATACATTTTCAATACGTTTTAAGAAAATATCTCATATATAGACACATACCCGATTTTAATAATCACTACTCTTGTAACTTAAATGAATAAATTATATTTTATTTTGTCCAGCTTATTAGTGTTAGTTTTCTTAAGTTTAAAGTCGTTACTCTCGTCGTTTAGCTTGGCTGACATTGCATGTGGAATGAGCATCTAGGACAAATATTATTATTAGTATTAACAATTTCATATGTAGGGACATAATTATTAATACCAATTAAAACCCTTTATTTCGTAACACAATGGAATAAAATAATATTATTAGCAGTTGTCACAGTAACCTACAACTTGATTTTATTTTCTTTGTTAATATCATAATCATTTAAAGTTGCATTTTCATTCAGCAAATAATACTTAATATTTAATTCATAATTTTCAGTATGGTTCGAGATGGGAATAGGATATTTCTAAACAGTAATACTTTAACAGCACGTTACAAGTATTTATTATTCCTCTCAATTATATGTAGTGGGAGTTTTTTCTTCATGGCTCTAGTAAACAATAACGATACTGTATATTATAAAAATGAAGATTTTCAATTATACATGAAAGATGAAGAGAAAGTGGGCTATCAAAAACAATTTACAATTAAAACTAAAGGTTGTACAATACCTGGAATGACTCCGTTTGATGATTCTATCAATCAGTTCGTAGAATATCCTAAAACAATAAAAAAATGCAAAGAACACAATATTTCCCTTGTAGAACATAATAAAACACATATATGGATAAATAAAAACAAGATATCTAAATATAATATAAGCCTCGACGACGACAAGCTCCTATGTTGTTATAAAGCATTCTATCGTCCAAAATTTGTAACAGATATCCATTCATCGTGGGTTGATGACAGAGTTGAATATCAAAAGTGTATTTATTTTTTTGAACTAGTAGAAGTAAAAGACGAATTTGTAAGAATCAGTTGCGTTTATGAAGACCAATTTATTTTTGATGATTATTTTGTTTTCGCTATTAAGAAAGACTTTATAGTACACAATGATAAAACGGAAATTTTAAAAAACAAAACAGCTTATAACGTTTTAATAATGGGAATCGATGCAGTATCAAGATTAAACTTTTACAGAACAATGCCAAAAACAGTGAACTATTTAAAAACTATGGGAGCAATAGATTTAGCTGGATATAATAAAGTTGGTGACAACACATTTCCCAATTTAATTCCAATGTTATTAGGAATGACACCCGATGAACTAAGAAAAACTTGTCTCCCGCATAAAAAAGCAACATTTGATAATTGTCCATTTATTTGGGAATGGTTTAAGCAAGCTGGTTATTACACAGCTCTTGGAGAAGACAGTTCAAGTCTAGGAACATTTAATTACTTAAGAGTAGGATTTGTCGATACCCCCACGGACTATTACCTACATACATTTTTTAATGAAGCTGAAAAAGAAGGTGGAAATAATCATGATTTCAATTCGTACTTATGTTTAAACAACAAATATTTTTATAATGTACTTTTAGATTACATTGAAAATTTAACAAGTACACTTAAATCTTCGAAATTGTTTGGCTTCTTTTGGGAAATTACAATGAGTCATGATTATCTGAATTACCCAATGATAATGGATGCCGATTATGTACATTTTTTTAAAAGACTAGACAATTCTAATTATTTAAAAGATACTATTTTATTTTTAGTTAGTGACCATGGCATACGATGGGGTGATATTAGATCAACAAAGCAAGGATATTTAGAAGAAAGATTGCCCTTTGTATTCATGTTAGTTCCGCCATCATTCCGTAAAATATATACTGAAGCATACAATAATATCAAATTAAATAGTAAACGGCTTACTACGCCTTTCGATATACATGCGACATTGTCGGATTTGATTGACTTAGAAAATATAGAAAATGATAAAATTAAATCTCGAGAAGAAATGTCCTACGGATACAATAGAGGTATTAGCTTATTTTTACCTATACCAAGTAATAGGACATGTAAAATAGCCGGCATTAAAGACCATTGGTGCACTTGTCAACGAGATAAGAAAATCCCAAATAACAGTGCTAAAGCAGTTGCAGCATCTAAGCATCTATTGAAATATCTGAATAAAATTTTATCGGAACACATAAAATGTGCTCCACTCAAACTTGTAGAAATAATAGAGGCAACAGAAAAGATCGCTGGTGACACAATAAGGAATGAGATAGGATGGCGAGAGTTTATGACAGTAGTACGCACCAAGCCAGGCAACGGTGTTTTTGAAGGTACTCTTCGTCTTAGTAATAGAGAGTGGTCGACTGCCGGCAGCGTCAGTCGTTTGAATTTATACGGTAATCAAAGTTACTGCGTAGATGACAATGTTATTAAATTATATTGTTACTGTTTAGATACATCATAAAGTTATACATGTGTTCAAAGTGAAAAGTATAATATAATACATAGTCGAACACAAACTATAATAAGTGTTACTGAAGTGCTTTTACATAAAAAACAATTGTAAATATTTACAATAGGCGGGTCAAAGAATAAGTATAGTCGATTCTGAATGATGTTATACTACTGTCAATTGAACTAACTAATCATAACGCAAAGGAAAAATGTTCTAGGCACCTAACATTAATGTTATTTTAATAAACTGTCTTAAATGTTAATATAATGTATTGATACTTAATAGTATGTTTGTTGGTTTCTTTAAATAAATAATAATATTTGGAAATCTTCTATTTTTTATTAATTATTAGCTTGATATCCGTAAAAGGGGGCTTCTAAAAGGATACTTAAAAATAACGCAGTACATTTCACAGAATTATACGATTTTAATAACATTTTTTATAAAATGTACAACTGACGCTAAACAAAAAAAAAACTCACATTTTACCGTAGAAAAACCAAACCTTTCTACAAAATTACTTTACATTAACTGTAAAGTGTACATTAAATAGATTGAACTTTAACGCGGGTGAAACCGCGGATATAGCTAGTAATATTGAAATAACCGTTTTTTACTACATGCATATGAATATAAATACGGTACATACACCAAAATAACATTTTTTACAATTTTTGTCTGTCTGTCTGTCTATCTGTTGGTTGCGGCTAATCTCTTATATCGCTAGACCGATTTTACGGGGCTTATTTTGGTAGGTAGCACATTTAATAAGGAATAACTTAGGCTACTATTATTTGAGAAAAACAAAGTCAAACTCCATGTGAACGAAGTCGCGTGATTCTATGCTTGAGTAGTATATTCTTTGATTCTATGGTTTCACTCATACCATATCATAGAACACAACACTGATGTCAATTTCACACTCACAATCACAGAGTAAGTTAAGTAATTTATACTCTACTAATTTTCACGTATACACTGCTTTGGTTGGTTATTTGGTTACAATGTTATATTATTTATTTGGTCCAACATTACTAAATACTTATAATTCTATGTAAATAATAACTACGATTATTGAAAAATAATTATATTTAGAAAATTTATTCACAAATATAAATATGATCATACAAAGAAATTCGGCTAAATGTAAGGATCTAAAGAACCAAAATGAGGTCAGTAAATTCTCAAAAGAGAACGATTGGTGCCCGGACCCAAACAAACCTTTAGAAGACAAAATGAAAAGTGTAAGTGAATCTCTTTCAAAATCAAAATTTAACAAAGTCTAGTGGTACTGGTGAAGAAAAGTGCTAATGCTAACGAATTATATGTTTACTTGAATTAACACCCGTCTCATATATTTTATTAAATGATAAAATTAGTATTTGAAACCTTAATAATAATAGTTTTCGTTATGTAATTTTGATATAATGAACACACTGTTTCACTATGGTGCGGTTGTTTATCACTTTTAAGTTATAAGATTATAATTTTATGCCCTAAGTACTTTTAGTACACAAATATTATAATAATAAGTAATAAACTACTTCCACCCAGTCTATATGGCTATAGATTGGTACTATATATTTAGTTTTTCTCATTACTTCCGTTTGCACTACTGTGACTATAAATTAATTTATAAATTGCTATAAGTCTATCTTTGCTCACAATGTTTGTAATCAAAATACTTAACATACTGTAAACTAAAAAGCAATAGTAAATAAATATGACTAATCTTATATTTAATATACAGTCTCATCATACTTTATTCATATTTTACATCTATAATATTCGTTACAATTGTTTCTGAAATTTCACAGAAAATACAGATGTAGCAATTCTTTGTCAGTGAAGACTCAAGGATAAAATGCTAAAATTTTGTATTAATTTTGTTTCTAGTATGATGGGGCCCCACAAGAGAATCAGTTGGAACCTACAGAGAAATTAATGCCATCTGATAAATATGCAGAGAGAGTTAGTCTAAACCTACATTTGGAAATTGACTTAGTCTTTATAGGGCTGTTAGTATTAGCTCTTGGTACCAGACTGTACAACTTGGAAGAACCAAGATATATTGTGTAAGAATGTTTTAACCCTATTTTTAATTTTGTATGTATAAAGTAATAGGTCAAATACAATACTACTAAAATTAATATTACAATATTGTGTTAATCAAAACTAGAATTTAATATTACTTATGAAAAAAAGTGTTGTACCTTTATCATGTAGTTTCTTATTGCTATTAATTTGAAGATGAAATAATGCAGATGTTTTTATAGTATTATAGTACTACAGTAGATTAAAGAAGGGAGACAGATAATAAGTAATTACTATTGAAAATGGACAAGAAATATATTAGGATTCTTGAAACAGCTGGTTGAATTTACTGGTTACATTTCAGATTTGATGAGCTGCATTATGGTAGATATGTATCATTGTACACAAAAGGGGTGTTTTTCTTTGATGCACATCCACCACTTGGCAAACAACTCCTATATTTAGCTGGTCATATTGCTGGCTATGATGGCAATTTTACATTTGATAGAATTGGATCACCATATACACCTAATGTACCAATAAAAGCTCTTCGGTTAGTGCCTGCTGTTGCTGGCAGTCTTTTAGTAGCAGTTACATACCAAGTGATGTTAGAGATGTCTTTCCATCAGTGGACTGCAATATTAGCTGGATTATTAGTTTTATTTGGTTAGTAATAAATATGGTGTACTTATTTGTTTGTGTCCTTATTGTATTTTTTTTTCTTTTTTGTTCCAATTCCTATTATTGGGTTTTGTATTATATGGGATGGGGAGATGTAAAATATTTTTTTAGACATTATCAAATCTTTATTATATACATGATGTACATAACATAAATTAAAGATATAGCTAGTTACATTAATTTATTAACAAAATAATCAATAGAAATAATTTAAAGTATATATCAACTGATCTATTATAAATAATAAGAACCCTAATGTTTTATACATTAGGGATTTCTATTAATGAAATAATTTTTTCAATCTATATATTTTAAATATTTTTTTTTTATATAATTTGTAAATAAATGTGTTTTATTTCAGAAAATTGCTTCCTAGCTCAGTCAAGATTCATGTTACTAGAGAGCATTCAAATACTATTTGGATTATGTGGAATATTGTGTACCATTAAAAGCACATCTAAAATGGGTGCGTCTTGTGTGATCTGGCTTTGTGTTGGTGCTGTATCACTTGGCTGTTGTTTTTCGTATGTAACCACTTCGTAACATACTGTGCATTAGCTTTACCATCTTTATGACTTTTAATCACATAGTAGGATAAATGTATGCTAGATATTATTCATATTTATATACCTTATAAATATTAAATATACCTATTAAAATTCATTAAAAACACAAAAAAAATCTGAGTGTTAAACATTGAAACGAACTTGCATGCCCTTTACCCGTAAGTATACTCCATTAATTTGAATGTCTGTAGACTGTGGTCTATTTGTGTCCCAAATTGTATTGAAATCTGTTCCGCCCTTAGGCTCCAGTGAGTAACATATATTATATTTATAAGATCATCTGTGCATTATTATAATACAATCATCTTATACATCTTATGACTTTAATTCAAAGCAGTACATTTAAGTGTGATTAACACATTAAGTAACTATAATCTTTAAAAACAATAATTTAATTGTCTTCGTTTTAGGGTAAAATACTCTGGACTTTATACATATTATTTGGCGATATTCCTTGTTGGAAGACAAATATGGCAACGAATTGGCAGCAAAGAGTCAACTCTACATCTGACCTTAGCAGCACTGTGGAGAATAATTGTTCTATTTATCTTACCTCTTTTGGTGTATGTGTGTGTATTCTATGCTCACCTAATTATGTTACCAAAGGCTGGGCCACATGATAGTGTGATGACGAGTGCATTTCAGGCATCGTTGCAAGGTGGGCTCGCAAGCATTACGCGAGGCCAACCCCTGCATGTTGCCCACGGGTCACAAATTACTTTGAGGTAAAAATGTATATTAATTTAGTGTAATTAATTATAGCTGATTTATCCTAGTTTTTCGAACTATTATAATGATGGCGGTAAGATGAGGCTCTCGATACCTAATATTTAAGAACTTTGCCCCGTGTCGGTAGCGGGAAAATTAGATGGGTTCACTGTAAAAATAAATTAATCCCAGATCGGGTTGCTGCCACCGTCTTTTCTGTGTTATGCATGATTTTATTCGTATCACCAGTTGACGTGTATAAAATAAGAACACGTAATGCACCGACTCAGTCACGACTAGGTGCTGGGAACATTAGAAAAACAATTGGGAATGCCGAATCGTATTAAGAATACGCAACCAGACTGTAGACAATTACCACTTCAAGTGATACATATTTTTGACAACTTTAAAAACTTTTATTAATTATATATAATCGTACATTTCATTGGGACAGACATAAGTTATTTCTCTCATTGCTTTCTTGATTTAATTATTTTAGAAATATGAAAGCGTAGCTGTTTTTGTATTGATTGCCGCATGCATTCTTATGTAAAATGTGAATACTATAACAGATGGCAATTGTAAGTAGCTTTGAAATGGTCTGGTGTTTTGAGTAGTCATGCTCACTAAAATGTCCGGACTTGTGGCGGCATGGTGGGCCGGGTCATTGGGCTCACTCATATATGGTCGAGCGCAGTGATGGCTGGCTCATCCGTCATACTCGTGAACGGGTGCTGCTTGTAGGGACTGGTCTGCTCTAATCACTATGACTGATTTCCTCTTAGTAATTGTTTAACCAGTTGGTTATATATTCAATATTTTTTCTATCTGAGTATTTAATTGAATTAGTGCTAATTGGTGGTTTGTATTCACACACTTATACTTAAAAATGTAAAGTAATAATAAAATTATTTAAAAGAGCAACACGCAAGTTTCTTGCTCGTTCTTCTTGTGATGAGACAGCTTTCCAAATGAGCGGTAGGTTAAAAAAATGTAATGACTATTCAAAAGTGCTTCAATGTAAGTTTATTTGAATAAATGATTTTCTATTCTATAAATTATCCATTTTCTGACGCAGGCACGCACATGGGCGGACATGTTGGCTGCATTCCCATGCACACGTATATCCGGTTCGATACACTGACCAGCGCGGTTCATCCCATCAGCAGCAAGTCACCTGTTATAGCTTCAAGGATGTCAATAACTGGTGGATAGTGAAACGGCCCGAGCAGCCCTCGTTAGCCGTGGCCCGGCCCCCAGATGCCATCCGCCATGGAGATATCGTTCAACTACTACACGGTATTACAAGCAGGGCGCTCAATTCACATGATGTCGCAGCGCCTGCCTCGCCACAATCACAGGTAATCTAAATTATACATATAGGAATAATTTACCAACATCATCTAGTGAGCAGTAGACAATATTGTGCATTAACTTTACTATTTTTATGAAAAAAAAAATTATTATATGTTTCTGAGGATCCTACTCCTCAACTCACCCATGAAACCACAGCACACTTTCAATAGACTTGATAATACAACTGTCTTTTCCATCTTAGAATTTTTGGAGCGGTAGGAAATTAATCACCATTAATCGACAGTGACATACGGATTTTTTTAATCATGAAATGCTAATTAGCTCACTTGGTGGCAAGTTGAAAATTAGAAATATACGGTTGTTTTAAATAATAAACCTATATATGTTTTAATCGACTTTATTATATCACACACATTTTTATTTATAGGAAGTATCTTGCTACATCGATTATAATGTGTCGATGCCAGCACAGAATCTTTGGCGAGTAGACATTGTAAATAGAGACAGTGAAGATGCCACATGGGACAGCATACGATCTATGGTACGACTGATACACGTTGACTCGGGGTCTGCGCTTCGCTTTAGTGGACGTCAATTGCCCTCCTGGGGATTCCATCAGCACGAAGTGGTAGCTGATAAAGTCATTACACATCAAGATACTATATGGAATGTCGAGGAACATCGATACACCAAAGGTAAAAGAGAAATAACACCTACTGGTCACATGTGAGATCTTCATGGTGTAGAAATTTAACAACGGGCTGTAAATTTCCTTCTTAAAGTTAATGAAATAAAATATATTACCCTCTTTTACTACTCAAAATTTAGAATGATTATACCTACGGATGGAAATAACTAATGTTATTTATATCTGCTCAATTGTATATTTTTACTTTATTGGATTTAGTTTTTTTTTTACTATATTAAGACGAGTATAAATCTGATTGAATTACAGTACATTTAATCATCACTATAAAAAGACTAAAAATAATAATATCATACTTAATAGACTTTATGTTTTTTATCAAATATTTTCAACATAATTTCCAGCTGAAGACAGACGAGAAAGGGAACGGGAACTCGTTTCGGCAGAAATGATACCAACAGCAGTAACACAACTCACATTTTGGGAGAAGTTTGCCGAACTGCAGTACAAGATGATCGCTCACGCTCCTGATGCGCCACACGGCCACATGTTTGCTAGTGAACCAGCAGAATGGCCTCTGCTTGTACGCTCAATTGCATATTGGTTGTCACCCAATTCGAATGTGAGTAAACTTGTCATTTATTGTAATTTAATATCCAAAAACTCCTTTTACACGTACGCTCTTTCTCGTGCATTAGCTTTTACGTCTTTTTATAAAAAGACGGCGCACACGACACCCACTTACGCAGTCCTAAGTTCTTTCGCAGGGGGGAATGTTAGTTTGTTAGTTTTGGATTGTTAGCAATATGGACTCTTGACCCCATTGCTATCAATGTACTGTCAGGTTGACCACCACGCGGTTCCCCCTGGAAACCATCGTGATAAATTACATGTTAATTTATCACGATGGGCTAACTGACCTGACCTCATGCTCATATTATCAAACCGTTAGCGCAGGCGGGTGCACCATTTCATTATCACATAAAAAAAACTTCTTTCGCAATCAATAAATATCCCTGTAAAATTGCGGATATCTGATTATAGAGCAAAGACCAAATTATAGAGTTGTTACTAATATGTAAATCTTTAGAAAATAAAATATAAAGAATATTAAAGTAAAGTATAAGTAGAGCATATTTACGGAAATCACATGCAATCGCGCGTGCCAGAGTAAATACAAACAATATATATAACAATCGCATACGAATGCGTGATCTCACTTTTATCGCACGCACTTGTCTTGTGGAAACGTTATCTGCTAGAAAATGTATTCCCTATATGTACAAGAGTTCTTATAAAATAACTATTAATCATAAATGCAATCTATATCGAATTCCTTTCTCTGTTCGTTAACTGTATTATATTATTCCTATATTTAAAGATATTTCTTGTTTATTTACAGGCTCAGATACATTTAATAGGGAATTTAGTAACTTGGTACGCTGGAACTATATCAGTAGTACTGTACAGTATTATGTTGGCACTATACGCGGTGCGCCGGAGACGTGCATGCGCAGATTTACCTATTCGAGCCACGCAACGGTTCTACGACGCCGGATTCGTTTTCTTTCTAGGCTATTTGCTCCATTACCTCCCTTACTACTTTATGGATAGAACACTATTTCTTCATCATTATTTACCTGCTTATATATTTAAAATTCTCTTATTATCTTATGTGATCGATCATATTTATTACATTTTACAATTACGTGAGAGAACGAAGCCATTAACACATGTATTTATTGTGTGTGTAGTTGTGTGGCTCGCGTATGTGGTACTTACATTTAACAAATTCAGTGTTCTTAATTATGGAAACGTTGATTTGACAGAAAGTGACCTCATTAATCTTAGATGGAAAGATACGTGGGATTTCATTTTACATAAAAAGTCATAAATATAACTCTCGTATTATGGTTACTTAAACTACTAATCAATTGTTTACTGCCATATAATAATATTGTCGAATACGAATTTGATTTTAGTATTGTCGTTTAAATTGGCTACAATTGTGACCAAAACCGAAACTACATAGAAAAATATTTTAATTCAATGGGTGTTAAGACTAAAAAAATTGAATCTAATATAGTATCTCAAAAACTAATGTACGTAAATAATTTTATCATCTATTGCTTATAATAAGAATATAGTTTAGTCCGAAACATTGTATTGTTTCAAACTAAAGTAAATGAACATTTATAATGATGACATTGAAGATAAACTACTTCAAAAAATTTTTTTCGATAATCGTTTTTATTTGTAAGTTTCAATTGCGCTAAGGGATTTATTATAAATTAATGAGTATATCTCATGTACAATATATTTTCTACACTCTTTATATCTTATACTTTTTTGTACCTATCCTTGAAATATTAATTGTATACTACATGGATTCTCCAGTGCATTTCTTAGGCTTTTCTTCATAAATAAGGTCACAATAGCTTAATGTAAGAACAGATCTTTAATAATATTAAAAATACTCAATCTCAAATGCATTTACTACATAATTATTTATTTTTATTGGTAATGTTAAGTACCTAATATAAATACTATATGAACTAGAAAAATAATCACTTCGCCTATATTTCGACTCATCATACAATATGACCGTTTATTCTTTTGCGATTGTAAGGCAGCAAAGTATGCATATCTTAAAGTGATTAATGTTGATCTTATAATTTGTAAACATACGCATGTACGCTTGTTTTTTTTATGACACTATCACAATATCGATATATATTTACGAAAGCCACAAATTATTACCCTGGCTGAGTACAGTGGAATAAACAACTAGAAAAGTGGATATGTTTGGAATAATTTGTATACTCAACCTGAGTATACAAATTATTCCTTTGTTCAGAATAAATTTTATTATCATAATGTTACAAAATCCTTACACACGTTCAGTCACTATATTGTATATCATATACATGTGTGTTGTATAAAAAAACAGTTAGATTATTATGGTACATGTGAAATAAAGTGTTATTGATATAACAATGCCGAGAAACGGTAAATAATTTAGTTTCATTAAAATATACATTTTTTATGTATGCGGCTATGTCACCTATTGTGCATATGATAAAATGTGTTACTTTAAGACTGAGGTCTCAAATCCCAAACAGCAATTTGCAAAACACATTCTTTTAACACCACCATTAATTCTATGTGAAAGCTTATTAAGTTAGTTTTGCAATATCATAAATTAATTACATATATGATATAGCTAATTATTTATATTTGTATAATTTTAGAAAAAAAATGTATTAGTGTAAGACTAATGAAATTTATGTTCAATAATTTCTAGCTGTGTTTAAAATATTAAGAGTGATCTGTTGCATAATGTAATTTATTTAAAAGGTGCTGGTAGTAAGATTTTAAAAATGTGTATATTCCGTCCATAGTTATAAGTGTAAAATGTATTTTATCCTATAAAAATAATAAATTAGAATCATATTTATATTTTATTTGATAAATAAAAGAAATATGTATATAATAAAAGTAATTATTTATTTCAATTATATGATCAGCGGCGGCTAGGTGATGGTTCCACTTCCATAGGCTGCACTGTGTGTACCGCCACAGATTCCACTTCCAGGGGAATCACACGCTGCTTGAGGACAGCAGTTGTTCCTGAAGGATATCTATAAGATCCTTGTTTTTTCCCCTGAAATAAGCATAATTGTTATAAAGCAAACAAAGAAAAAACAATGACTTGCATTTCTATAAAGACCATACACCAACCTTCACATTGGCCTCTTCATATGTTCTGAGATATTGAGCAGGACCAGTATTGCGAATAACACAGAGGTCAACATTGGACCCAGATCCCAAGTCATTGAAGATACCAGCAGCTATAGCATCTCGCACCAACTTTTTACCCTCCTCCTCTGTCATGTTGGGTTTCCAGCCTGCTTCAAATACAGCCATTGCTGCCAAAGATCCCGAACCTAAAATTAACATGAATTATTGTAAAGAATTCAGTTAACTAAGTTAGTAACACCAATGCTAACTATATTTTCAGAACATGCGTAACAAAATCAACTTAAATACAAATTTAAGTTCAATACTTAATACCAAAATAAACTTAAAAAATAAATAACAGTTTACTTACCCATGGTAGCATAAGGTAATTTATCAACAGACCCATGAGGATAAATACAATATATGTGAGGCCCAGTACGATCCACACCACCTAAAACTAAAGCAGCACCAATATAACCCTGGTAGCGGAACAGCATACGCTTCAGAAGAGTTGCTGCGGTTTCAACTGGCACAGTGCGCCCAGTGTGTAAACGTTGTAATTCTAATTGTGACGCCACTGTTTGTGTGGTCATTTCCGTATCAGCAGCGGTACCCGCACCGCAGCAGTACATATTACCCGCCAAATAGTGAATCTTCTGGCAATTTTTATCAGACACTACTGTATTTTCAGTGGCCCTCGTATCCGCACCAAGAATCACTCCATCTGCATATATGATACCTACAATGGTAGTACCGGTCTTTGTAGCTTTAGGTGCAGGAAACCCTTTTTGTGCCAAGAATGCATTTCTGAAAAACAAAATACCATTTTCAAGATAAATATATGTGTAAATATGAAATTTACCAAAATGCCGTGAAAATATTAATCACAATGTACAAACCGTTGATAATTTTCAAAAGAAAAACCTGGAGCAGGTATTTCTGGAGATAATACGGAGGTCATTATTAAATTTATGAAAACAATTTATAATAACGAGGGATATTATTTGGAAGATTACAAAACTTAAAAACTGCAAGTTGTACTGTCCAATAGAGTAATATATAAAACAGAAAGTGTGAATCTATGACTTTCTTGACATTCATGTGATTGACAGATGACACTGACAGTAAAATGGAGTGCCATGAGATTTTTTTTACTTTACGTTTCTATAAGCAGAGTCGACGACACCTCTGGGTTGTCGTCGACTCTGCTTATAGAAACGTAATGAAGGGAAAACCGAGCGAAGATATATTACCTACTAGGCAATGTACAGTATTACAGCCAGAAAGAGAATAATATATTTGTCAGCAGTAGTTCTTAGCATATGTTTAATAATTTTAACATTTATAATAAAATATTTCTTTTACTTTCCATCATATGAGCCACAACGTTGTTTGAAACTTCAGTTGAAAATAATTATTTTTATGGAGGATGGGGTGATAGGTGCATAGAATGATGCACCCTCTGCACTGAAAAGGTATTTGCGGGTTACCAGTGTAGAATGCGGCCCATGATGGCAAATTCACCAAGAATTTATCAGGGTTCCCAGGAGGACCGCGTGAAGATCGACCTGATATAGTATATACATTGCTAGCAATGGTCATATTAGTTCACATTACTAACATTCTCCTTTTAACAGATTCTTCAGACCAGTTCTTCTGCATATACCTACTTATGCTACTAATATATTTTAATCTGGCTCCGGCGATTTGAATGATTTCATATGGTTTTATTTATTCATTCATTAATATGGGTGTTGTGTATAAAAACTACGAGATCTGGATAACAACTGTTTTATTAATAATATGTAGGTACTTAAATAAAAAGTAAGAACTAAAACACGAACACACTCAACATCTTTCCCTTTTAAAAGCAAAATATACTATTACTAAAATATATAATACAAACTATGAATTGCAATACTAATTATAAAGTGAATTACTACTCATTTAGTTAGTAGACATTTCACCAAGTATAGATAGAACAATCAATTACTTACTACATATACATACACTCCATTTATTCTATGATATTGTTATACAGTACAGGCAGGATTAATTCTATTCATGTTAACATTAGATAAAAAAAAAAATTAAAATCAACTAACAACTGCAATATTATTGTGGTAACTGCCTGCGAGTACGTGGCGGTGAATAAGATTTGTAAAGGCTCTGTCTAATTTTGCAACTGGGTACATATAATTCATCACCATCATCACCATTAGCCTATAGATAAGGACATAGTTTTCTCATAATTATTATTGGGCATACTTTGAATTAAGTTTCGGCGATTGCGGCGGTAAATACCTTCTTTACTTTTTTATAATATAGGACCGCGGTATACAAGCCCGCGCTATAACCGTCCCTCGGATCCTATCGTCGTTTTCTATCATAATGAGGTCATCGCCGACATTCAATTCAGACAGTTGTTTACATCGTTGATCATAATATAGCTTGGTTTTCTTTTGTTTATTTACAATTATGTTATGGTCCACATCGTTATTCACTTTTAATAAATAAGGATGAACTGGTAATCGACAATTTAATCGTCGACCCATTAACAGTTGAGCAGGAGAATTCAAATTATTATCGCGAGGAGTATTTCTGTAGCTTAATAAATTTAAATAAAAGTCGCCATTGCTGTCTATAGTTGTAAATACCTCTTTGTTCCGTGCAAAGTATCATGTTAGGTTGACCTCCACGCGGTTCACCTTCGAAACCATTATGATAATATTCCTGGTGAATTTGTCACGATGTGCTGACTGACTTGACCTCAAGCTCATCTTATTATCTTCCACTGATGCCCTTCCAGCGTAAACCGTTGACACAGATGGCCAGATATACACCATTCCATTATCATACAATAAAAAAATCATCATTATTAAATACGAGTCTAAATGTGATTGGTTACTATTGTACAAAATTATACAGAGCATTAATAAATTATAAGTCAAGTCCTTAGAATTCAAATTGTGCTACCAGATGCTACATTTTGTGACCTTTTTCCTTAATAATAGAATCCACCAATTAGATCCGGACAAATTGTTCTTAGAGCAGTGTTGCTAATTTTGCGGTTTACATTTTTATTTAGCTATTTATTGAGTTCCTTAGATGGAAGTTAATAAACTTTAGCAATATTTTCTAACTATGCATACCTACATTTCGCGTTGGCAACTATGAAATTTATAAGGTTTAAATAAAAGAAATACCTGTCCGAATAGTAATACATATTTTAAACTTGTTATTATGACAACATACTTTTCTAAATTCGAATATTATAGCACCGTTTATTATGAATTTAGCTATTTCGTAGACAGAAGTTGACAACACTACTTTATGGCAGTGGCATATGAATATTTTTTTAATTTGTCTTATAGCTAGAAATTTATAAAACTACAAAAAAGACGAAATGTGTTAGAATTGGAACATATTTTTCGCTTATAAATTTAACTTTAACTTATTAATTAGCATTGTAGACGTAGGCTTAACATTACCAAAATGTTTAATAATGCGGCATATGTGTGTATAATTTATTTTACTGCCGCTCTAGTCTTAACGCTAGCCGGAAGAGATTTTTATCAAATACTTGGTGTATCCCGATCGGCTAATACCAATGAAATTAAAAAAGCTTACAGAAAATTAGCGAAAGCTCTTCATCCAGACAAGAACCAAGATGATCCAAATGCATCCCAAAAGTTTCAAGATCTCGGCGCAGCTTACGAAGCTCTGTCCGATCCGGAGAAACGAGAATTATATGACCGGTGCGGCGAAGATTGCCTTAAAAAGGACGGCATGATGAACAATAACGATCCCTTCGCGAGCTTTTTTGGCGATTTTGGATTTCATTTCGGTGGTGAACCACAACAGCACGAGACACCACGCGGTGCTGATATTGTTATGGAACTTACTGTTTCTCTGGAAGAACTTTACAATGGAAATTTCATTGAAGTAAGTCATTATTATGAATAAAATATAGTTATTAGAATATATCATTAAATTATCTTTTTTTTTAAGGGTCCTACTATTATCTGTATTAATTTTATTACAGTTAATGTATGTATGATGTGATTTTCAGATAACGAGAAATAAACCAGTAATAAAACCTACATCTGGAACAAGGAAGTGCAATTGTCGTCAAGAGATGGTTACCAGAAACTTGGGTCCAGGCAGGTTCCAAATGATGCAACAGACTGTTTGTGATGAATGTCCTAATGTAAAATTTGTTAATGAAGAAAGACTTCTAGAAATTGAGGTACCTTGTAATATAAATTCTATTCTTAATTAATTGGTGATTATTGGACAATACTTATACATCATAATTCTGAATGAAGACATCAGAATTCTTTTGAACTGCATCCAAAAATATGTGCAACTTTTATAATTACTAATTTTAATGTTGTAAATTGATCAGAAATAAGTTATAGATTAAAATGTAATAAATGTTGTATGTGGACCTGAAAGACATCATTCATCAACACTCAAAATTCATCCAAATTTGTTTAGAAGTATTTAGGTGACATACAGAAAAATTATATTTATAATAAAATATAACATTAAAAAAAATTTACTCTGCCTGTTCTTGCTAATCTCAGAAACAACTGGACCAATTTTGTAGGCACTTTCACTCGGCCATAACTTATGTTATAAGAAGTAACTTAGGCAAGTCTTATTTTAAATTAGAACATATTTGTTATTATAAAAAAATACATGATGTAACAGATAGTATAATATAATTATATATCTGGTTGGATAACTTACTATAGTATGGAAATGATCCCTACTTACATTATTACTTATCAATAGATAAGGTAATAATTTAAGAAATATATTGTTTTGCATTAATTGATAATGTTTCTAGCTAATGTGTGGTAATTTAAAATCTCTTCAAATACTTATATAATATTTGTTATAATGAATATGGTATGGACAGAACTGTGTATGTGATTTCGTGTATTTTTTGACATGATTTTATAAAGTTTATTATTTAGTGTTTCATCTAGACTTTTTTGTTAGTTCATAAATTATAAATGTAATGAGGTTATGAAAGTAAAGAAAACTGGGCCGTAGCATAGTATTGAAATAAAAAATAATTTGATTAAAATTTTGCATGTCATGTTTAATAAGAAATAGTTTATGATCTTTAGTTTTAGTTTTATGTTTCATACATGTAAGAAAGAGAATGGTATATGGAAATTTGCATCCACTTATTTAAGTTTCTAAATTAATACAACATCAGTGGGTGTTACTTGGAGATTATTTACATTACAAGATGGGGCTAAAGTCAGGGCAGTTGGTCTATAATGAAAAATTAATAAAAAATAACCCAATGATGATCTGATTGAATATATTCTATATTGCTAGAGGCAGGGACTAACAACCCCATTACTAAGAATTTATGAGTAACAACAAACAAATAATAAATGTAATAACAACCTCTCCATACAGCTTTGAGTTAAAAAGTTGAAACCATTTTATAGTTATAACTGAACAATATATGTATATAAAGTTATAACTGAACATTAGACATATAATTAATTAATTCCTTTGACATGTTTCTTTGGATAAACTATTTAAAAAAATATTTTTGTAGGTTGAAGTTGGTGCTCCAGACGGTCATAAATCTAAGCTCAGAGGTGAGGGTGAACCTCATGTTGATGGAGACCCTGGGGATTTGGTCATTGTATTTAGAACGGAGAGGCACCCACAGTTCACAAGGCGGGCAGATGATCTGTATACAAATGTCACTATTTCATTACAGGTTAGTTCTTACAAATTAATTTACTTTAAATAAGTTCAATTATAAAGAATTATATGGTAATAATAACATAGTTATTATTTATGTATGATAAACAATGAAAAACATAATAACACAAATGTAATAATTAGCCATTTTAATATTAAAATTATATTTGTTAGGATGCTTTGACTGGCTTCACAATGGAATTAGTACACCTTGATGGACATAAGGTAACAGTGTCCCGGGATAAAGTGACATGGGCCGGCGCACGTGTGCGTAAGAAGGGTGAGGGCATGCCAAACTTTGACAATAACAATCTCCATGGTAACCTCTATGTCACGTTTGACATTGACTTTCCTAAACAGGACTTCAGTGATGAAGACAAGGAAGGTGAGTCCACAATTTCTAAATATGATACTGAAAATTGTCTTTCTTTCTGTGTCTTCTGTCTATATGTACAATGGCTTAACGTCGTTATCACCTGCCCGCTTATTCTGATAATTATTACAAATGGGCGGACGATGACTCCCCCATAAATCTACGTCACTGACACCATTGATAGAATGGAGAACCTTAGACATTTGGAGTAAAGACTAACGAAATTGTTGTGCTCATCTATACAGGAAGTTATTTTTGTAATTACTAATTATTTATATGTCGCACATTGTAGACTCATTTTTTATACTATTAGATGTCCTTAAAAATAGTGTAATAATTTGTATAAATAAATTATTAATTATATTATTTTTTTCAGCATTACGGAAAATACTCAATCAGAGTCAAAATAATAAAATATACAATGGACTATAGTACTTATTCTGCCAATAATTTATTAAGTAGTGAATTGAGTGCAATGTTATGAAGAAAGTGCGCATATATGGAGGCATTTTTGTGTTACCTGTGGACAATGTGATTGTTTTTATAAAAATAAAATCTTACTACTCTTAATGTGTTCCTTCATGAATAAAACCCAATATTACAAAATATATTTTATTTTTCATATAAAACAACTAGGCAGGTAAAATTTCAATTCTATGTATATAAAAATATTACAAAAGGATATATCTTTCTATAATTATAACTAGAAATTTAATAAGGATTTAAAGTCATGGCACAAAATATAAATATTCAGATGTATTACAGGAATGGCATTTGTAATTTTCATCAAGAATATATAAACAAATATACTGCCTCATTGCGACTACTATTTGTATTGTTTATAAATGAATAACACTATTTACAAACCGCAAAATATTTTTTATGTATAAAAAGTTTTCAACAACAACATGTAATTGTAAATAGGTTAAATTTACTTATTACTAATTAACAAATGTGGTTTCGAACTTGAATACTAACATATGTTCTGTGCCACAATTCATAAATAGAAATTAAATAACAGGGATTTGTAAATAACTATTTACTGAACATAATTTGAAAATTATGTTTAGTAAATAATAATGTTATGTTCATATTAATGTCAGAAAAAAAATATAATATCGTTTTGAGTGATATGTATGTATACCACTATAGGGTACTTTTGGAGAACCAAATGGAAAAAATACTTCAATTATCACAAAGTTATAATAAATTTGTATAGCTATATTTCTTCTTAATGTCTAAATTAATAACACAAATATTTTGATTACATACCCTATTTAAATATATATGTATTTCAGTCCTTGTGTCATTCAAATATTAAACTTATGATTAAAATAAAATTATTACTAATGGTCATCATTAGTAATCACAGTAACTGGCCTAAACTATAGGCAATTTACTAACGGGTGTATTATTGATTTGAGGATATTTGGAACTAAAATGTATAAAAATAGGTTCAACCAATGTGAACTTTTTGGTTATACTTTAGTCTTCAAAATAATTGAATCGTATGGTATACAACATATAGTCTGTTTATTAATCTCGGAGATTAAAATGACAAGTGTAAATGTCAAATTTTCAAATAATCTTACCGATTTGTGTAATCGTAGGTTGTTATTTTGGAATAATACACATGTTTTCAAAATTTACGTACATATACTATTGTTCCATGATTGTAGTTGAATTATACAAAACAAAAGTACCATTTTTGTGAATTACGTACATACAGTAATTTTTAGAGTATTAAATTCTTTAAATAATTTTTCTTATATAGATGTTTTATGTAGATGTGTGGTACTTTTCATAAAACATATTTGACCTTCGTATGGTCATATTTCATAAAACATTCTATGAAATATTTATAACAAGAAAATTTCCGATAGTACCACAATCCTATTTAGAATTGCAAAAACCTGGCAACATAGCTAATGTCTAATTTGTCTCCGAAACGAAAAAACAATTCTCGTAATCACCACAAATCTGCGAGACTAGGAGACGAGGCACGAGGGTTGGTCCTGGGGCGCGAGCAGTGGGGCGGCCTGCAGCACGCTGTTGACGACGGCGCGAGCCAAGTAGCCCACAGTGACGGCCGCCGGCGCCGCCATCAGCGCCTCCTCCTCCGCGGCCGCCTCCGACCCTCGGTCCTGCGGCAACACACGCGGGATTGTTAATCCCCTGGAAACCATCGTGCTTGATTCCTGGTGACTTGGTCACGATGGTCTACCATACTGATCTCATGCTCATCTTATCATCCTACACTGGTGAAATAGACAAATACATAATATTTTTTTGTAAATACATACATAATATTCGTAGAAAACACCCAGACTGATACAAACAGTTATTTATACTCGTACAAGTGTACACCAGAAGTAAGGTGGTATGTCAAACCGCTAGACATCCGAGGCCGTTAAAAATTATAATAATAATTTATATATATTAATTTAGATAGGAAGTATGGTCAAGAAGTCGACTTGGCATGTTAGATAATGTCCTCCCCCAGGTGGGATACCATGCAGGTGGTACTGGCAGTGCCGGGTACGATAGACGGTGCCCCTCTCAGGCGAGACCTCGTGTAGATAGTAGTGTTAGCGGCGGTACCTTGGCGTAGGTGAGGTGCGCGTCGTCGAGCAGCGCGTCGAGGTCGAGCGCGTGCGGCAAGTAGAGCTCGGGGTTGCGGCGCAGGATGGCGGCCAGCACGCCCAGCAGCTCCACGCACAGCTGGCGCCGCGCCGGCCGCGCCACGCGCACCAGCGCCTCCTCCACCACCAGCGCGAACGACAGCTCCCACCGCGACATGTTCGCCAGCGTCGGCTGCGCCGGGATCTCGTGCCCCTGTGCACGGTGGCGCACCATCCCCGTTCGCATAAATTTTATTATCTACACTCGCCATATTTAATGTGTAATCTTGGCATGCGATTTATAGTGTTCCGAAAAATTATATAACGCTCGTGGTAGTTTTATTAAAACTGGTGATTTCAAATTTGAAATACTGTCAGTCTATTTACCGTTAATGAAAACATAAAGATCAAAAATAGACTTGGTGCAGAGTCGTTTGCGTGGGTACCTCTGTCTCATTCATTTCAGCCAGTAGAAACGACTATGTATCGGATGAAGGATAGGGCGGTGAAATTACAAGGTACGAAGACAACATATTCCTCCGAAATAGTAACGCATGGAGAATATTACGGGTAGTATATAAGTTGTCGTCATTGCTGTAACTTTATTCGGTTGGCACTTACCATCAGGTGGCCCAACAGCTTATGTGCATATTCTACATGTAGTTACATAAAAAAAAATCCTTTAAGAGTTCAAAATGTGTACTGCAATAGCTCAGGAGGCCGGAGCTTATTCTACTATTGGACTAGTCACTATGAATAGGATACCCCTAATATTTACAATAATAAAATACAAATCTGAGAGGATCTAATATATAAAACTCGTGTTTTGTCCAATCCACTGAAGTCATTCATTCTATTAACACATTTCTTTAATATATTTACATTATTAAACTTACGTGGACAATGATTCCTTTAGGAGTACGTAACAATATATCCCACACTTGTATATAGAAATTGTTCGGCACCCGACACAGACACCCCTCCAATTGTCGACGTTGTAGTGGTGTCAATCTATATAACGAAATACGTAATTAGCTACATTACATTAATATTTATTTGTATAGTTAGAGTACAACTACAATAACATTTTAAAACCTCGCTAATTATTATAAATAACCATTGTATTGAATATTCTATTTAAATAAATATTCAGTTATTAACAGATACTACTTAACTCACGAGATCGTAATTACCAGTAATTTATGATGACTATTTTTCAGATGAATTTTATAATATATTATGATACAAAACTGTACCCTGCAAGCAAATAAACATTATTATCATTGTAAACGAGTAATACGACGGGGAATTTTATCATGCCGCAAACTGTATAGTGTACAGTGTTGTGTCGTGAATATTTGTTATGAAACATTGACAGACCCTTCGTCGTCAGCCCAGTCAGACACAGTGAAGACACGTTGCAGCAGTGTGCGCAGCTTGTACGGTGAGAGGCTCTCAAGAGTGTCGTCAGCACGCATCTCCGCAGGGAACAGCTGCAGGTAGATGCGGATGGCCTCCAATACCCAGCCCACGCGGATCTTCAGGATACCCCGGAACATATCCGGATTGGTGCCGATTAACCGTCCGCAGTACAATACCACCTCCTTAAGAAGATTAACCATATCTCAAATTTCACCACTGCTACCACCAATATCACTGGTATATATATTTATCTGATTATAGGTTTTTTAAGGGATGAAAATGTTATTGTGCATCCGCCTGAACTCCTATACACTGGCGGCCCACCAATGGATCCTCCAGTGGATAAGATTTTTCCTGCCTCTTACAACATTGGGTCTTTTAAGTCAAGAGTGAATAGGTATTATTTGAGCTTGCGTGTAACAGCTTAGACCACATCATCACTTAACATCAGGTGAGATTGCGGTCAAACGCGCTCAAATTATGATATAAAAAAAAAAAAAATAAGGCAAGTCTGGGAGATCATCGTGACCAGTTCACCAGAAATTTATCCAGAGAGTACCGCATGGAGGTCATAGTACATTGCTAGCAATGGGGTCAATTAGTACCCATTACTAACAAACCACTTCCCCTCAGATGATTATGGGTTATAGTGGAATCGCGACAGAGTATATTACCCATATTACCATTACTCTACTCAGCATTAATGTAACAAAGGTAATAATATATACAAGTTTGGATATTAATTTAAAAAATCGTTCCGGCTCATTGTCGATAAATTATTTTTAAAGTGAACTTGGTGTTAATATAGACGTGTAAACTTTGCATTGCAAACGCTAATAATATAGTATATACCTACATGATAAAACTAAGTTTTAGTACCTGTTGAAGTACGGCTCCGATAACATCATATGGTTGTATGGTGGAGTACATCACTGACTGTATCTCTCCGGGTGTCATAGGTTTGTCGAATACAGTCTCTTTCTGACCGATCACGCCCACCATTAACTGTATATACAAAAATAATAATATCTGAACTCTTTTCTAATAAAAAAACATAAGCCAACATGTTATATATATATATATATATATATATATATATATATATATATATATATATATATATATATATATATATAAATACAAACAGTACCAGTTTTCTGAACCTAAACTGTTTGCATACTATTGCAACTCACACATTCACTGGCAAATATCCAGACTGATGCAAACAATCTAATCAATAAATTTTTGTAGTGTGCGAGGAAACGAATCTGAACTTGCTAGACCACCGATGTCAATGGAGTTATAAGCATATTTTTTTAAGCCATGAATTTAATAATGTCTATAATAGTTGCCTGTTTTCCGTTGACGAGCACGGTGGTGATGAAAGGACTGATGGAGTCGACGGTGTGGCTGAGCAGCGAGGAGCAGTACCGCACGGCTCGCCAGTGCCGCAGCTCGCCTGCCGACTGGTACAAGCTCTTCAGCGACTCCAGAACGCTCACTCCATTCACCTGCGCACTTAACCTCATATAGACCACGGCATTATTCTTACTACGTGCTTAGAAGGTTAGAAAAAAATAGTACCTCGTACATGGGCCCCTCGCGCTCGAGTAGGATGCCGAGGAGCTGCGCGCGCGCGTGCAGGCCGGCCGCGTGCTGCAGCGCGGCCACCACGTCGGGCACGGGCCGGCCGCGGAGGTGCCGCCAGCTCGTCTCCTCCTCGCGGTACGTCAGCGTGCGCGGCACGTCCGTCAGCGACTGCCGACAATCACATATTTTTTATTTACTATTTTTTATGGCTTCGGATACGAGTCCTCATGAACTCGACCTTAACAAGTACACCAGACTATAAGTTTTACAATATAAATGATAAAAATTAAAGTCAAAGCACGACGAACGTCAATTGACAATCATACCCCGTTCAGTGTCCGGCTCCAACAAATTTTATCAAAAGTAGGTAGGTAATTACAAAAATTAATAATATATAAACCTGTACAATTCACATGACACCATCTAGTCCCAAATTAAGCAGAGTTTGTGTTAAGTGTACTAGTCATATGATTGAAATACTTCAATATTTTTTCTTTTGTAAATACATACATAATGTACATAGGCAAAATCAATAACAATACAGACAAATATACTTATGAATAAATATTGTGCATACCGTGCAAGAAGACGAACCTGTATCCATCGGCAGTCGTAGGACGTCTAAACACCTAGCACAACAAGGACGGCAAATTAAATTTATCGTAGTAATAGTAAAAAAATATTCTAATTGAGTGTACCTGGTAGCCGATGTACTCGTGCTCCAGCTGCTTAAATTGGGTGAACATCTCCGACGGGAAGTCGCCCTGGCTCATGAAGTCCAGATGCTCTATGCAAACAAATAACACCAGAATTTATACACTTCAAAAATGCACCACAGTTGCCTCGAGCAGAAGAAGTATCATATTTTTATTTCATTCCTTTACAATAAACCAGTATAATAGTGGCTGTTTATTTAAAAATGCTTTTAATAAGAATAAATATAGAAATGATTGACTGAAACTATATGTTCGGAAATTACAATACAATTATCGATTTAAAATATCGTATTTCTGATGGATATAGATAGTATAAAGAGAGTTTTGTTCAACAATGGCAGAAAATTCTTAAGTAAAACATTATTGCCTTGCTCAATTATTACCTATATTTTACTTATATTTAATTTGACTATAGCAGATCACTATGACGTATCCATATGAACCCATTAACATCGAGCTCATAATCCTATTAATTAACTGTATATATATATATAATGCTGCATGGTGTTAAGTCCGCTAATGTAATGTAATAAATGTAAAAATTACCTTCCTTATTACTATTGTGTGCATTAAAGTTACATATACATATAAAGTAAATGTAGTTTTGTATTAGTTAAATAAAATACAGAATTTAGTTACTATTAGTACCTACTTCCCGAATCAAACAATAGAAAAATGTTTGTGTCATTCTATTATAGTACTAACCCATACACGAGCTTGAAATTAAGTTTTGGAGACGTCCGAGGCGGACCTTAACTCCATCGCAGTGTCCCTTCTTAAGCATCGCGAACAAATCCAGCATCTGCTTGAAGTGCGGATCGCGCATATGTTCCTCACGCACCAACAAGCACACAGTTGGACGTCCGGACAAACGCCAATATCTATAACGAGGATCATCTATTCTGAATTGAGAAACTTTTGAACAAACAATTTAGATATGACGGCCTCCATGGTCTAGCGGTTTTACACCGCTTTATTTTCGATGGTCGCGGGTTCGATTTCGCGCACAAACATTTGTATTCATCAATATGATTGTTTGTATCGGTCTGGGTGTTCTCTATTTATATTAGGACGTACTTAAAATAAAGAAATATCTAAGTATTTATATCATTCATCTAGTACCAATAACACAAGCTCTGCTTACCTTGGTACTAGATGGCGTTGTGTGAATTGTCCAGGGGTATTATTATTAATATATTATATGACAAACATAGTGTCTAAGACAATTCATGCATCCATGAATTGTATACCTACTTGTGTGGATGTAACCGGTACAAGTTTTCATTCTAAATATAATATTAGGTAACCTGTTATAATTTTAATAAATTAGATAGATATAAAACCTTACTTTCCAACAAACTGTAGTTCAGTCTTTATGTCATCGATTAGTAACGCCATATCTCTGTACAGATAGAACTCCGATACCTCGAATATAAGAGGATAGCACAGCACTGTCATACCGCTTACTCTGTATATCTGAAAATTATAAACGTTTCTCTTAAAATCTCAACAAAATGTAATATTTTTATTTATACATAAAAATAAATTGGCGTATTTCTTTAGACATATAAAAGATTTGTTTTATAATGGTGAAAATTTGGAATAAGAAATTTTTATACATATACAAACTAGCTGACCCCGCAAACGTGTGTCGTGTCTTGCCGTATAATTTAAAATGGCTATTATAAAATAGGATATTATATGACTGATGGTAGAAAATTTAGGGTTGTATGTATTTTTAATGCCACATCATAAAAAAATTAAAATAAATATTTTGTCGAAAAAATAAAAAAAAATTAAGGTGGACAAGCCTTATTACTTAGGGGGTCAGAAAAGTAGGTTGTAGCCGATTCTCAGACCTACTGAATATGCATATAAAATTTACTAAAACTTGGTCAAGCCGCTTCGATGGAGTCACTAATATTGTGACAAGATAAATTGGCGAGCGGCTGCATATATTTCGTTATTTCTTTAGATTTATAAAAAATCAAAATTAATATTGAAAATTTGGGATAAGAAATTTTTATTTTAAGATATTGCAGTTAATATTTTTTTAGACTTTTACATAGTCTTACTTTACTTGTACCAAGTGATCCAATAGGTCTTATTGGTCTTCCAGTGAGTTTCAACTTTGGACATACTCCTAATTCTCTGTAAACGTGAACTAGTTGTGTGGAACTGCAAACCTAAAATAAAATTAATGACATAAATAAAGGTTAAATATAATATGGTTGGTACTTATTATGTTTATATTTTTGGTATGGTATATGGACTAGCATTATGGTCTAATAAACCCATTAATAGCAATGTACCATATCAGATTGACTTCCACGTAGTTTCCCCATTAGCGCAAGCGGGTGCACCATTCCATTATCATCAATAAAAAAAAAATAAGAAGTAGCAACTAAGTAGATCAGGCATTTTTTATTAGTTTAACATATACTTATGTTTGTTGTTGATGTATGAATGAATGGAAGGATCTTTGTTACTCTTTCACGCAAAAACTACTAGATGAATTTGAATAAATCGTTACAATACAACTTATACATCAGATTATATTTTATTGTTATATATTATTTTCTTTTTATGTGTCTACTTTAAATATTGGTGCAATAAAGAATTATAAATAAAAAATAAATATATCAGATAGTATATATTATACTATTCACATGACCGTAACTTCGTTTGTCGTGGATTGGAATTTGGTAATAAATTGGCGCAAATAAATTATTGGTATCCAAATATTTTATTAGAAATAGAAATAATCTTTATTCAAATAAACTCATTACAAGCACTTTTGAATAGTCATATTTTGATTCTACCACTCATTCGGAATGCAGATTCATCACAAGAAGAATGAGCAAGAAACTTGTGTGTTGCTCTTTTTAATAGATGTTTTTTTATATAAATAATTACAGTGTAACAAGTAAGAGGCATGCGACAATCAACATAGAAATCGCTACGCACTCATTATTAGTGTAATTACATAATATTGTCAGTGCTATGTATTTAAAATTTTTATACAAAAACATTATTATCGTTAACAAATTCTTCAATTTTATAGTAAGCTTTTTTGCAAAGGAAGTGTTTTATTTGACATTTAAATCTTTTTTCTGGCAGATTTATAACAGACTCTGGTATTTTATTGTAAAACCTTACGCAATTGCCATAAAAAAATTACTAACTTTAGCCAAACGACATTTAGGTAAAATCAGTTTGTTATTGTTACGTAAGCTTTTATTAGTGCAATCACTAACTCTTTTGAAACTGTCTATATTCTTCCTGGCATACATGATATTTTCATAAATATATTGAGAAGCAACGGTGAGGATATTTGATTCCTTAAAGCACTCTCGCAAAGACTCCCTGGAACCCATGCTATAAATGGAGCGAATGGCCCTCTTTTGTAAAATAGTTTGTGTATTGTTTTGTAATATTGTATAATGTACTTTTACTAATAGTAAACAATAAAATTAACTTAGCGATATAAACTAGTAGTGTTATTGACAATATATACATACATATAAATGTTTGATGTTGTTTGATGGTGTTTGAAAAGATAATGTTAAATCAAATGTTACAACACTTCAGGGATAACCGACTGCTTCACAGTCAACAATATGGTTTCACCGCCGGCAAGTCTACCACTGACACAGGTGTAGTGCTAATAACACATATTTTTGAATCATGCGAGAAGTCACAGGATGCACTCGGAGTTTTTTGTGACCTATTAAAGGCATTTGATTGCGTGGATCATAAAACACTTTTGTACAAGCTCGAACATTATGGTATAAAAGATAATGATCTAAAATTAATGAGAACTTATTTAGAGGATAGGGTCCAAACTGTAGATATTGACGGTATAAAATCTGAGGGAGCTAATATTGGGATGGGCGTTCCACAAGGGTCAATCTTAGGCCCCTTTCTCTTTTTAATTTACATAAATGACCTTCCCTTTATGGTAGAGAAAATTGCAGATATAGTGCTGTTTGCGGATGATACTTCGTTAGTGTTTAAAATTGGACGTCAAACTAATCAATTATACGATGTAAATTGTGCTATGTCTGCTATATTAAATTGGTTTACATGTAATAACCTATTATTAAATTCCAGCAAAACAAAGTGTATAAAATTTACAATTCCTAATGTAAGACCAATAAATACACAGTTATTGCTTAATGATGAAATAGTAAATTTTGTTAATGATACAGTTTTTTTAGGTATAACAGTGGACTCGAAATTACAATGGGGGCCCCATATTTCAAAATTGGCCAATAGACTCAGTTCTGCTGCATATGCAATTAGAAGATGTTATAAACTCTTTAGTTTTAATAAAATATATGATGTGTAACTTGACGTAGATTGTCATCTATGAATTCAATAAACTGTTACTACTAACTATTAATCCTTATTCTAATTTATAAAATGTTGGCGACGAGGACATAAAATGGATAAAGAACAATTTGAACAGTTCCTGCAATTACAACGCACACAGCATGATCAATTAACTGAAGTAATAAAACTTCTAGCTACGACAACTACGCAACATGCACATTGCCCCACGGAGACGCCTGTGGTGGCTTCGAACAGCCAGGATACGCTCTGCACACATATTTCTAGCACATCAGGTATTCACAAATTATCAATATTGAATAATTTCAAATGTGAAAAATTTAACCCGTCAACGACTACGGTTGAAAATTTCTTCGATTACTTTGAAATAAAATGCGAAATATTAGACGACAACATAAACAACGGGGTTAAAAAAGACCTATTATTTAACTGTTTAACACCGGAAGTTTTCCATGAAATTAAAGTAGCACTTATACCTCATTTTGAATCGAGCACTTATGATGCTATCAAACAGAAATTAATGGATTTATACCGCACTAAGGAAACCAGATATCGAGCACTATCTGAATTCTGGAATTGTATACGACAGGATGATGAATCAATGGAACACTATGCAAATAGACTAAAAGAATTAAGCAAAGATTGTGGGTATAACGACACACTACTAGAACGACAACTTCGTGACCGCTTTGCTACTGGTCTTAACCACACACAACTTGAAATAGATTTAAAACAAAAATGGCCGGATCTCGTAGAAAACTTTGAGGACACAACAAAGGAAATAACATTTGCGCAAATATTTGCAGTCGCACAATCACGTGAGTTAGCGGAAGGGGATCAAAATAAAAAAATAATCGGCATTTACAACGTTAACAAAAAAAAGAATAATTATACTGGTCAAAAACAAAGACGACTAAGCCCTGGTCAATGTCGTCGTTGCGGAAAGAGAGAGAAACATGGAATAAATGAATGTCCAGCTAAAGATAACACTTGCAAAGAATGCAATTACAAAGGACATTTTGACAGCTGCTGTATAAAAACAGGTAGAGCATACTTAACCTACGAAAGTAAACAGGAACATAAAGGCAATAAAAGGTTACACAAAATTGAAAGAAGCTATTCCCCACGAAGCAACAGCTATACGTCAAGGAGCTCAGACCGTAGCGATGACGACACGGAGGATGAACATCATTCCGTGTATAAAATTCAAAATAAATGTGGTAAAGACAGTAAAAAAATTGACGCTATGATCAACGGAAAGTCATGCACAATGGATTGGGACTCAGGATCTCTCTATTCTATTATCAGCGCCGACTTCTGGAAGCAGATAGGATCTCCTCCGTTAGGCGATGCACCGCGACTACGAGCTTATGGAAATTTAAAACTTAAATTACTGGGTTTGACAGACGTAACAGTAAAAATACAGGATAAAGAAAGGATTTTGCCAGTAGTAGTTATGAAGAAAGCTGATCCTATGCTCTTTGGTCTACTAAATTGCTTTTACTAAATGTTTGAAATGGAATTTCCCAAACCTGTCTATACAATACGTACACTACAACAACCTACGACCCTTAATCAAGTTTTAAATACGTACAAAACACTATTCGATGATCGTCTTGGCAAAGTAAAGAATTACGAAGTTAATATTCATATTAGACCTGGTACACAGCCAAAACATCTCCCTCCAAGACCTGTTAAATTCTCTATGAAAAGAAATATTGAATCTGAATTGAAACGACTTGTAGACACTGGAATAGTAACTGAAGTCGATCCTAATATAACACCCGTTGAATGGGCAACACCCACAGTTAATGTCGTAAAGACAAATGGACAAGTTCGAATATGTGGTGATTATAGAAGCACTATTAATTCCGTTCTTATAACACATGCACATCCAATACCACTGTTTGATCAATTACGACAAAAATTAGCAGATGGTGAGAAATTTACCAAAATAGATTTAAAAGATGCCTATTTACAGTTTCCAATTGCAGCTGACTCAAAAAAATACCTTACCATTACAATTCATAAAGGATATTTCCAATATAATAGAATGCCGTTTGGAATCTCGACAGCTCCATCTATATTTCAACATTTTCTTGACAAACTACTTGATAATATTCCAAATGTTGCAGTATATTTTGATGATATCGCCATAACCGGTAAAAATGATTTGGATCACCTTAGAACACTATCAGTAGTACTTGGAAAGCTGGAACAAGCTGGTCTTAAAGTAAATTTAAAAAAATGTACTTTCTTTCAAAAAGAAATTGAATACCTTGGACACACTATAGACAAAAGTGGCAGGGTATACGTCCTACGAAGTCAAAATTAGAAGCTATTTTGAAAACACCGTCTCCGAGTGACCCACAAGAACTTAGATCTTTCTTAGGATTAGTTAATTTTTACGAACGTTTTATTATTATTATTATTATTATTATTATTATTATTATTTGGTATTAAAAAATTTGATCAATATATACGCGGCGGGAAATTTACTTTAGTTACTGATCATAAACCTTTAATACATTTACTAGGGACTCGGCGTAACTTACCTAAGTTATGCAACAATCGACTAGTCCGTTGGGCTCTTTTGATCGGTAGTTACAACTATGATGTCACATATACAAAAGGCAAACTGAATGTCATGGCTGACTATCTCTCGCGAATGCCTAATCCATATGAAAAACCATCGACTGCTGAAGAAATAGTTCGCAAAATAGTGACACGCCACCAATCAGACAAATTGCATGATCTACCTATATCCGAAGAAACTCTCAGACGCGAAGTAAAAAAAGATCCTATTTTGAAAAAGGTCACTGAATTCCTAAAG